AAACAATTGGAGATTTATGGAATTGAATGATGTTGTGGTGGTGTTCGAATGTATGTATGTGTGTATGTTTGTTCAATGATAAATAAAATATGAAAACAAATTAAATGAATTAAAAGAATGAGTCATTCATTATGCAAACAAATGCATTGAGGCAATTTTACAAAATCCAAAAAATGTTTATAATTAATCTAGGCAAACGAATGAATGGCGATTTGCAATTACTCTAAATGGAAACAATGATTTCACAAAGTCATACAATTGCAGTAAAAAATAACAAAAAAAATAACATTGAGAAAAAAGCTCACCTCGCACAAAAGGTGTAGTAACAACAAGAACAATAACAACGTACGGAAGTGAAGGTGTCTTAAAGTGCTGCATTTCATATTAGTGCCGAATAGCATACAAAACGTTTTGGGGTTTGCAAAAAGACAAAAACAAAAATACATGGAGGGAGACAAAGATAAGTCATATCATGGCGACGAGGGGATGTTGCAGGTGTAATGCTATTGTTATAAGCCAACCTAAGTGGAAAAGGAACAAAAGCAACAACATTGCATGAGTATTACAAACAAACAAAAAAATGAACATTTAAAAAAATATATGTATATAGAACAAGAAGAAGAAGAAGAGGGAAGCAACAAATCGTCGTGACAAAAGGCTACAAAATGAGGAAGTGTTAAACTAAAACTGATGACAGACGAGAACAATGGCGATAATAAATGAGAAATGATTGTGCACCGACAACACGACCAATGACACGGAGGAGGATATATGGTTGTTAGGTGATATCCTGCGAAGTTAACAAATCGCTACACCATTGCATGTGGAGATACTTGTGAGTTTTAAAACAAATACTTAAACTCTAAATCATGATGTTTTCGGTAAAGACTTTCCATTCCTGGCAAAATACACTTGGGTCCTTGGGGTTATTTATACGATGAAGCAACATTTGATCTCAAAATTTGAATTCATAGAAAAAAAGATCTAAATTTGACCTATTATTTTAATAATTTTTATACCCTACACCATGCATAGTATGGAGGGTATAATAAGTTCGTCATTCTGATTGTAACTCATCGAAATAATAATTTTGGACATAACAAAGTAAAAATATTCTTGATCAGGGTAAAATTCTAAGACAGTTTAACTCTGTCCGTCTCTCCGTCTGTTGTATTCACGCTAGAGTCAAAACGAATAAAGATATGAAGCTAAAGTTGTGCATATATCAGTCTTTTGCCTGCAGGCAGGTCAACTTTGAAGATGGACTATATCGGTCCACGATATCGTATAGCCCCCAAATACCCCCGCCCCTTTATTCGGTATTTAGATGATTGTAGCCAAATTTTTCAATGAAATTGTCTGAAAATCCACAAAAGGAGTACCTTATGAGTACTTTAGACCCTGGAAGAGAAATGTCTATTTATGTCCACGATATCGAATTGCCCATATTCACGATATTCGATATTTTCACGATTTTAGGGTCATTATTCACTGAAGTTTTTTCAAATTTCGTATTTAGAATTCGTAATGGGTACTACAGCCTATATTCGGTATTTCGATGATTTTAGCGTCATTATTAACCGGAGTTGTCTAAAATCTCGTATTTAGAGTTCTTAATGGGAAGTACAGTCTATGACAGAAAATTGTGTATGCAGGTCCAGGTCTTCGTATAGGCCCCATATATAAGCACCTCCCTATATTCAGTATTTTGACGATTTTATTTACAACATTTACCGAAATTGCTTAAAATTTCGTATTTGAAGTTCCTAACAGATACTACAGCCTGTGACAGAAATTTGTCTATGCAGGTCCAGGTCTTCGTATAGGTCCCATATATCAGCACCTCTCTATATTCGGTATTTTGACGATTTTAGGTACAATATTCACCGAAATTGTCTGTGACAGAAAATTGCCCATGCTGGTCCTGGTCTTCGGGCCGATATAACGGTACCTCCCTATATTCGGTATTTTGATGATTTTAGCTACATTATTCACCTATTTTTTTCAATTTTCGTATTTGAATATTGTAATGACTTATTGCCTATTCAGGTCCACGTCTTCGTATGGACCAAATTTTCAATGACTAACGGCTATATACGGTATTTTTAAGATTTTAACCGAATTTTTAACAGATTTAATTTTTTTGAAATTTCCAAATTGGTTCCAAATGGTGGAGGGTATTCGAACTTACTGCTTTTTTACTTATTTTTTCTGCTGTAGGACACGTGGGCTTCCTTAAAATGTCTGTTTAAGTATTAATCAAACCTTCCTAACACCTCAAATTTGGCGTCATATATAAAAAAAAAAACCAAACGGATTCCCTTGAAAGTTTGGAAGATTTTATAGCAAGGCTAATTATTCTCTGGCTTTCGTAGGCGAGTTTATTTGTGTTTATGAGGGTTAATATATTCCAAGGCGCAGATGCTTTGAAAATTCGTCACAGAAAAGAACGCCATCTATATTTCATATCATAAGTTTGAGATCTCCCATATAATAGTATATTCATAAAAATATTTGCCTAAAAATTCCAAAAATTGTTAGCCTTCTTCTGCGATCTGATTTCTAAAACATTGTCCTCCCAGGAGAAACTTAAAAACTAGACTCCGCGAAGGGTCAATATATTTTATTTTTAAACAAATCAAAACAGCTTAAAATTGTGGGAACATAAGCAGCTTGAAGTCTGCAAGGCATATTTTGTGACATATCATGATACAGGAGCCACAATCGAGTCCTGAAGTCATTTTATTTTATTTTATAATTTGACATTAATATTCCTAGCCATGATGCTTATGTACCCACACCTTAAATCATAAAATTCTTGACGTTTGGGGAAATGGACAGCTTCTCTCAATATAAAATATAAAAATAATATTATCACTGAGATCTCCCATTAAGCCCTTTGTTCATATAAAATGTGGGTTGTGTTTACAACTCAATATAGTTTTTAAATTCATAAAAATCGGTACTTGAAAACTCCTAAATGGTCTCGGTTTTTTCTATTAAGCTAAGTTAGCGGGACATTAAAATTCATCTCTCTTAAATTGCGAACTGTACAACGTTATCTGTCCGGTAGAAGCTTAAAATCTGGGTAAGCATAGTTTCCAAGATGAACATACGGCGGCTGTTTGATTCTGCATAGATGTATATGAAGCATTCGAAATGAACGCCATGTATACTTCAATACTGTTTGGATGAGATATCTTAAAATTGATTCCTCGTAAGTTTTTTTGGGAGGAACTGTGACCTGAATACTCTTAAATTTTGGGGGGTTAAAGAAATTGACGCCATCTATACTTCAATGTCAAAATGTCCTCCATACTTCCATATATTTAGAATATGATCACTGAAATCTCTAATTAATATTTTCGCAATTTCTAAAAATAGACATAAGGCGGTTGTTTGGAAAAATTCTTCATAGAAATTCTTCATATACGAAGCTTAGGAAGCCGACACCATCTGTATTTCAATGTAAGTTGTACGTTATTTTTGAGATCTTTAATTATTTTTTCGCAGTAAAAAGTTGTAGTTTTAAACGTTTGTAAAACTAGTAGCTGGTCGCCGTAATTACAAAAAAATATGTAAAACGGATTACGAATTTGAACACAATTTTTACTTGAATATAATTTGAATTTGGACATAATATATATCAGTTGGAGCTTCGTTCTAATAAATAATGAAAAGCCTTTTAAGCCTTTAAAATACGTTACTCCGGTCGTTATATTCTTAAATAAATTGGAAGTGCAAAGGTTTATATTTTTTTTTTAATTTATAAAAATTCCGAAAAGATATTTAATGTTTAACATGACTTTTTTCGAGCGTCATCTATAAGTAATAAGTGCCCAATGGGCTTTTTGATCAAAGTTTAGGCGTTTACAAAGAGAAGTTTCATTTTTGGCCAAATGACCGGTTTGGGCGCCAGAAAATAATTTTGGAGCTGTCGTTGGAGGTTATGTCCGGTCCCCCTTTTTTGAAGACTTATATCACGGTTTCACCATATTTTGTTGTCGGCGGCTCTAGCTGGAGGGCATATAACAATCGACGAGTCTCTACCAAATATGTTTTTAATTTTAAATACATTCTTTCCCAAACTCCTAAGGAGTAACTCCATTCTCCAGAAGTAACATGCATATGGTGTAGGATCTTAGGAAATAACTAATCTAAAGTGAGGACAAGCAAGGAAATCATAATGATGTGTCGTGTCATCGTCGTTTGCAGCACTGCACGAATGACAAAATCAAAAAACGAACAAAAAAAAAGGGAAGCTATCATGACAAATGATATGAATGACATAAAAGACAATATCGAGGCTAGAACAAACGTTGTTGGGGTTTGCCAGGATACAAAAGGATACTTCAGTAGCCGAATAAAGGAAGCGACATTAGCAAAAAAAGAGAAGTGCAACAAATATGACAACAAAAAGTACACTCTGAGGCATTCATACAAAAACAACAAAAAAAAAAAACACACACACACACACAACAGAATAGTTGAAAAGAAAAGGAAACTGAAATTTTACACCCACAAGACAAAGAAGCGTAAAAACATCCATTCAGAAATAGGATTCACTATTTTACGCTATTCATATGCACACAAAAGGATGAAACGGGATGAGGGAATGAGAACAAAAACAACACAAATGAATAAGTTACAAACTAACAAAAGCAGCCATAATATAACATTAACATTATCATCAGAGCCACAGGATTAAGGAATTCAAATAAAAAAGCCTCGAGACCAAACGGCAAAAGGCTGGCTGATAGTTGGCGCAGAAAAAAAAGGAAACTGAAAAAAACATAAATACCAAGAAAAAATAACCAACAACACAATGTTCTAAATAAACAAACAAAAGGGAAACAAGACACAAAAAACACATGACTATTTAACACAGGATCCATGTCCTGTGCCCTGGCCGGATCTGGTCTGGCCTGGTTGGGTCGGGTTGGGTATGGCATGTTGTTGTTGTTGTGTACTTTGTATTACAGCATTGCGGAATACCTCACCTGTAGATTACTTAGTAAAGCCTGGAAATATGGCATGGCCAACAAGGCATTGGTGCGACGACTGCTACCACTGCTGGCACTCGGTTGAGGCAAACCATCCTGGGCCTGTTGGACTAAATGTGAATGCTAGAGTAAAAAACAGGAAAAAACATAAAAAGATTGGCGCCCGCAGTAAGGTAAATTGTCAAAAGCCACCAAAAAACACACGGAGTAAAGAATAAGAAAAGGCAGCAATGGAAAGAGAAAGAGAAAGAGAAGAAAAAGAACAAAAACAAAACATGAGTATCTTTTTGAATATTTATATTGTAATTGTTTGCCAACTGTTGGCGCTTAGCTTTAGCCAGGTTTATTTCAAAATAACAGCTAGAATATAAATTAAAATGTCATGTTGGCCTTTTATAGGCCTCGTTGTTTTGTTTTTTTTCTCTGTTCGCTAAACTTGATTTTTAGAGAGTCCACTTGAAATGCTATATCCATTGAGGTCCAAGCCAACCATTAATGGCCAACAACACTGTTTGGCCACTTAAAATGTTAATTGACTTAAATATTCCTGTTTCAGCCTATTGAACGAACACTTGTTGCTTGTTTTGGGTGTCGAAGAAGGACACTCAATTGTTGAATTAAGAAGAGTACATTAATAGAGGTTACACCTTTTAGGTTTGAGAAGAAGTGGAAATTCTGTTCGACATCCGTTTAATTGGATTTCGAATTCATATAAACCTAGATTTGAGAAGATGTGGAAATTCTGTTCGACATCCAGATAAGGGTGTAACATACGATGGTTATTAAGAGAATAAAAAGAAAAATATAAACGAAGTTTATGAAACGGACGCCATCTATACTTAAATTTAAACATGTGATCACTGGGATATTCAGCTAATTGTTTCTTCGTAATAAGATGTAGTTAGTATTTTAAACATTCAAAACAGTTAAAATTGGTTATCGTGTTTACAAAAAAATATCGTGATCTGAAAACTCTTAAAAATTTTGGAGCTTATAAAAATTATTGCCATCTGTATATGGATGTCAGAATGCCATCTATACTGCAATATCATAAGAATGATATCACTGTGATCATTAGGTGCTTCTGAATATTCTAGAGGCTTACAGAAGTCTAGCTGTCCCTCTCAAAAATGTTAGGAGTTTCTAGGCCATGGTTCGAAATGATTACAGGGTGAGATGAAAAAACTGCAACCAACTTCAGACACCTAAGCCAGTAGCCCGACAGCTGTTAAAATTATTCCAGTGATTATATTGTTTACAAGCGTACAAAAGCATTTTGGTGAGAATTTTCCAGAAAAAAGTTATTCGTGATGGAATTCAAGCGTGATAGTGTGATTTCTTTATATTTGGCTGGAAAACCACGAGTGGCTATCGTTAGAGCACTCCAGCATTTAAATGTGAATCAATCTTTTGTGTCTCGTACCATCCCTTGTTACCGTGATGCTGTAGCGTAGCCCGACGTCAAGGAAGCGTACGGAAGAAAACAGCAACATCAGCATAAATGGTTCGAAAAGCAAAGAAGCGACTTGATCGAAACCCGCGTCGAAGTGGCCGAAAATGATGAACTGCCGAATTCGGTTTTATCCGATGAGAAAACATTCGTTGTCCAGCAGTTTGTAAACAAGCAAATGATCGTGTTTACTTGCCAAAGAGGTCAGCTGAAAATGTACACCTTCGGTTGGCCACCAGAACTCAAGCGCCGGCCATGGTGATGGCGTGGGCCGCCATAACAGCCGATAGTTGTGGCATCACAATAAATGCCGTATATTATCGCGAAAGTATTCTGGAGGTGTATTAAAGCCTTGGGCACGGAAACATTTTGGCCGCAGACCTTGGACATTCCAACAGGACTCAGCGCCATCGCACACAGCACGCGCCACCCAAGAATGGTACAAAATTAGGTTCCTCGCATCATTTCCAGCGCACAATGGCCACCAAAATCTCCGGATACCAATCCGTTGGATTATTGTGTCTGTAGTAGTTTCGAAAGCAAGGTCGGCACTAAAAAATACCAAAATGTCGATCGCCTCAAGCAATCGATTTGCCAGGAAGGGGCCAAAATACTGCAGAGCAGCGTGTGACAATTTCATTGGCCGTTTGAAGGCCATAATTCGTACCAAAGGTGACCAATTCGAACAAATCTAAACTTATTCTAAAATTAGATGGTAATTCCGATATTTTTTGCTTTTATTCAATAAAATTAAAATAAAAATGTAAAAATTATGGCGTTAGACTTTGTTACAGTTTTTTTTTTTTATCTCACCCGGAGAGCCAACTGGAAGATTGTAGTGTTCAAATGCGAATGATAGTGAAGTACAAATGGCGTAACTTCAATATCGCTGGCGATCTTTCAGTCAGCCCTCCGCTTTATTTAATGATGAGGTGCATTTCGATTATGGCCAAACATTTTTGAAAAGAACAACTAGATATAGGAACCAAAAAAATAGGGAATATATCTCGAGCGCTATGGGATCATGAGACCGAGACGTACCCAAAATAATACAGAAAGTACCGAACGGAGAATTGACTGGGAGAACTCAAAATAGAAAATCTGTTTGGACCCAAAAAGGTACAATACTGCGCCAATATAAGTATATTTTTTCTATTTCCAGAAAAATGTATATACGGTAAAATCTAAGGAACAAGAACTAATCGCACTATATTTGCTCTAGAATTTCATTGACAAGGTCAATGTACATTTGAATTTTGTCCATTTTTATTTTCAATTTCTATGCATTTTATTTCTTTTCAAGCTCAACACATCTAAACTCCTATCATTTTTCTCTCCCTCTTTATTAAAAACTTGTTTAATACAATTATATTTAACAAGCCATATTAGGGCAGAGTATGTTTGTTCAAATTTGTGCTATGCTAACAAAAAAAAAAAAATGGAAAAATGCACAAGAACAAACTGGGGAGCAAAACGTTGTGGAAAAACTTTTTTTCGAGGGAAAATATAATCGAGATAACCACGTTAATTTTGTGGAAAACTCTAATAAAAATGAGTTTCTCAGAGATATGTTTAAATGCTTAAATGACCAAAAAAGAGTGGACAAAAGGATATGGCAAATTGCAATGTGAAATAACTAACAAATTGAGGACAGCGATTTTCCACGAGGTCGTTGTTGGTCAGACAACTCAACTCGAAAACATATAAGAGTGCAACAAAATCCCAACACATCAACTTATATTTATATGGAGCAATAAGAGGATTATCATCACCACCCGCATCATCTCCAAAGAGAGGAGAGAGAAATATGGTTGTCATATACGCTTTCGTTGTTGTGCGATAAAACGAACTTTGTGTGTATTACGTGCAACACGAAAATAGAGAGTTTTTGTAGAGGACATGAAATGCAATATCGAGAAAATACCAAAACACGGAAACTCCACGCTCCTTTGCGGGGGATATTGCCTTATTTTATCCTTTTTGAAAGGTTTGAAAATAAAACTAAACAACATATGAGGATATACTGAAAATGAAGAGGAAGAGAGAAACCTTCACTTGACAAATAAGAAGAACAACAATAAGGATGGCATACAAATATCTTTGGTCAACTTCAATGCCATGAAAATTCGTATAAGATTCTTTTTTTTCCGCAATTCCAATATAACAGATCTAAGTTCATAGTTGTACGTATGCGACGACAGACATATGATGGTATCTATAGACAACATAAAAGATGTTGTAGACAGCCAACAATATGACATTGTAACATTTGATAAAGTATAGCATTTCATTGCGAAGGATTTGTTGACTTATGTCATAAGGTATGGAATGATGTCGAGAGTTATATTTTTAAGGACTATTACAAAATTTTTCCTTGTTGTTGTTGGAAATATATTCTTAAAATTAACTTCCGACATTAGAATATTGTAATGAACCAGCATCGTTAATTGGAAAGAGAAACAAAATTTGAAGAGATGTAGATGTGAGCAGATCCGTGTGAAATTAAAACTGAGGATGAAATCATTGTGATGGAAAATATCAGCCACTTTTATAGATTAAACTATACACGATGATGGATAAAACTGTCGACGTTGGTGGATAAAATGTTTTAAGTTACTGGGTAAAAAATATACCCCTTGATCGATGGAATTATCTACGTAAATGTATTAATTTATCCACGTTGGTGGATAAATTTATCGAAGTTGGCGGATACAATTATTTTTCGACGTTGGTGGATAAAATTATCTATAGTGGTAGATATAAAACCCCAGTTGTTGATAAAATTATCCATGACTAACCTCAGTGGTGGATGAAATTATCTACTTTGGATAAAATTAAAATTATCCACGGCGAATAAAATTATAGAAGTTATGGATAAAATTTTCGATATTGGTGTATAAAATTATCCACGTTGGCGGATAAATCTATTCACGTTAGTGGATACAATTATCTACGTTGGTGGATAAAATTATTCACGTTGGTAGATAAAATTATCCACGTTAATGGATAAAATTATCCACGTTGGTAGATAAATTATCCATGTCGTTGAATAATATTATCCACTTTAGATAAAATTTAAATTCTGTAAATAAAATGTTATAAAATGTTGTTATTGGAAAAAAATTATCCACGTTGGGGGATTAAATTATCTGCTTTGGACGTATTAATTAAAATTACCCACATTATTGGATACAATTCAAATTATCCACGTTAATGAACACATTGGCGGATAAATCTATTCAAGTTGGTGGATAAAATTATCTACGTTGGTGGATAAAATTATCGACGTTGGTGAATAAACTATCCGCAGTGGTAGAAAAAATTATCCTTGATGGCAAAAACTATTTTCCACGTTGGTAGATAAAAATATTCATTTTGACGGATAAAACTATCTACAGTGGTAGATAACATTATCCATGATGGTGAAAAAAATTATCCACGTTATTGGATAAAATTATCCTCAGCGGTGAATAAAATTATCGACGGTGGTAGATAGAAATATCTATGCTTAGGAATAAAACTATCCACAGTGGTGGATAAAATTATCCACTTTGGATAAAATTATCCACGGTGAATAAAATTATAGAGGTTACTGGATAAAAATCCACATTGGTGGATAAAATTAGCCACATTTTTTGATAAATTAAAATTATCCACGTTAGAAAACAAAATTATCCACGTTGGTGGATTAATTTATAATTACAGATGTTATTGAATAAAATTTTCCACATAAAATTATCCACATTATTGGATAAAACTATCCACAGTGGTGGAACAAATATCCTCAATGGCGAATACAACTAACCACGTTGGTAGATAAAAATATCCATTTTGAAGAATAAAACTACCTATTGTGGTGGATAACATTATCCATGTTGATGAATAAAATTATCCACGTAAATGGATAAAATTATCCTCAGTGGTGAATAAAATTATTCACCTTGGTAGGTAGAAATATCCACGCTTACGATTAAAACTACCCAAGGTGGTGGATAAAACTATCCTCAGTGGCGGATAAATTATCCACAATAATGGATAAACGATGCACGCTCATGGATAAAATGTTCTAAATTAGTGGAGAAAATTATCAAAGTGGGTGGTAAATTTTATTCACGGTGGTACATAAAATGGTCCTCGTTGGTGTACAAAATTATCAACGTTAGTGAATGAAATTTTCCACGTTGGTGGATAAAATTATCCACTTGGGACAAAAATCAAATTATGGACAGTGAATAAAATTTTAGGTGCTATTTGATAAAATTATCCATATTAGAGGATAAAATGATCCCTGTTTGTTGACAAAAATTATCCACGTTGGTAAATAAAATTATCCACGTTGGTGAATAAAATTATCCACATTGGTGAATTAAATTTTTCACATTGCTTCATTAATTTATCCAGCAATGTTAGTGAGTAAAATTAAAATTGCATTTAAAATTATCCCCAATGGAGGACAAAACATTCTGTGATTATCATAGATTGGTAAGTAACATTTTCCATGTTACTGGCTGAAAAAAAGTCATTATCCACATCGTGGGATAAATGCATATATTTTCCCATAGAATTAAATTTCTTTGGCTGTGAAGAGAAGTTTTCAAAAGAGAAAATCGAAAAAAAAATCTGTTGAAAATAAAACCAATTGACTCACCTCATCGCCCATAATACTGCTGTCCGCATGCTGTTGTATGCCATCCGATTTGGGACGACGATTGCGTTCTCTGGCATTCTGTTGCTGTTTGCGACGTGTGGTCTGGGTGCTGGAAGAGAAGAGTGAAACGAAATGAAAATCACAAACCGTATGAAAATATAAAATCAAATGAAATGTAACGTTAAAAATGTTGTTTACACCAATACGAATGCCATAACTATAATCTCATGGACCAACACACACATGTATTCATACGTATGTGTGTATGTATGCATGTATATTTCTGTGTTTGCAATTAAATGAAAAGCTTGACTAGATCTTGCCATCGCACACATAGAAAGCAGACGGAGAAAAATACAGCTAATACATGATGTATGATGAGATTGGATTCTGCCAGGATTTCACCGACAACACGTAAGTAGTTGGGGATGTAAGAAATGTGTATGTGTCGGTAGATGAGTATGGTGTGGTGTCCTTAGAATGCTTTCGACCAACAATGAAATGCATATGGCCAAGTGGTGAGCTATTAACTCATTGCTTTATTGGCTTTAAAGAATTTCTTGAAGTAGTGTTTTAATGTGGCTAAAAGGAATGACCTATTTATGAAAGTGGCTAAGAAGATTAAATTATTCTGTGTAAGCAATGGGAAAACACACACACAGACACTCTCAGTTGATCTGGTAAATGGAAATATAAGCTGTGGAGCTTTAAAGAGATTTGTTTTTGAAAAGTTGGGGCAAAAGGAGTTGGGTTAGAAGTTAGATATATAAGCTCTTTAATATGGAGTATATATATACTCTCTTTAATATGGTGTTAGCCAATGGGAGAATTCTCCATACTTAGTCAAAAAGTATATATTTTAAATTAAAAACCAAGCTTATATAGGCTAACACCATATTAAAGAGAGTATTTGTTTAAAACGAAAAGTATTACTCTCTGTAATAAAGAGAATAAGATTAAGCCAATGGGAGAATACTCCAAACCTAAGCAATTAACAAATTGAATCACCACCAATAACAAAGCAAATGTATACTTACTTATTTTCCGCAGCCGTCATATCGGCCGCCGTCAAAGGCTCCGTACCACTCTTCTCACGCACCAGGCGATCTAAAAACAAATAAAATTAAAATGTGAATTAATTTGAAGTACACCTTCAATAATTTTCTCTCTCACCTGATTCATGCCTCTCCAAATCCTCCGGCCTTTGGCCTGGCTTGGCCTTGACATCAATTGTTATTTCTGCACTACTAAGACCAGCATGACAGGAATACACCCCCGCATCACGGAATGTTATATCCAGTATACGCAAAGCCCCCTTTTTGGAGACTTTGAATTTCCTTGATTTTACCAATGGTTTGTGATCCTTGTTCCACTTTATTTTTGTACGGTTGTAACGCTTGACGGGACATTTAATTTTAACCTGGGTGCCAAAGAAGACCACACCTGCTCCTCCCACTTTCAGGGTGATTTTTGATTTCTTTGGATCGTGTTGTATGTGGGTGGTATTGCTGATTTGAATTATTGGCTTGGGATCTTCCGGTGGGCATGGTTTTACATTGCAAGGCTTCTTATCTGGTGGCTTGGCACTGGGACACATGGACTCGGGTCTTTCGATTTTATGTTCCTGGGCCATAATCTGTTTACACTCCACTTTGCGTTCCTTGTAACCATAACCGCAGGTGTGGGAGCATTTCGACCACTCGCCCACCTCCCAGCGTACTGGACAATCCAACACATTGCAATACTGTCGGTCTGCTGGTGGCGGCTGGGGGCACATGCTGTTCGGTACCACCATGGTATTTTCACCACCCCTTGTCACCTCATGAATGCACTGGACTTCACGTGTTTTGATGCCAATACCACAAGATTTGGAACAGGGTGTGTAGTCTGAGTAATTCCATCGCGGAGGACACGGCCTATCATTGCATGTCCTTACCCTGGCTTCTGGTTTCGTCTCGGGAGCACACAGGAATGGCGAAACAACTCGTCCATTATCTTCTCGCACACAATTTATTATCAGCTCCTCCACACCACCCAAGCAACTGGCACTACACGAGGTGTAACCCTGTTCACGCCACACATATGTTTTGCCTGGCTCGGAGACGCCAACTTTTATTGAATCTCTTGGATACTGATCATCATAGCCATGTGATGGCAGCATACACGGCTCCTCCACACAACGTTCCACCTCATCGTGTGGCTTTACGCCCTCACACATGGTATCATTTATGGTGGCCAATGTGCGTGAAAACTCCAAGAAAATCTTACATCTATACGAGCGTCGCCTGATGCCCTCACCGCATGTGACGCTGCATGGCGACCATTCGATGTCCTTGATGTAACTGTGTAAAGAGCAGTGAAGAGAAGAGAAGATTGGCAAATAAAATTAATAAAATATTGGAGGAATCGGCGAAGAAAGAGTTTCTGGAAACTATCCATAAAAATCAATATTTGTTTTACAATGTTTGGGCCAATTTGCAAGTTCTTAAATTCCATTTCTTGGTGAGTTGTGGAGGTTATTGTCATTACTTTAGGCCAAGCACATACACGAGCACACACACACTCATACAATTACAATTTATTTGTTTAAATGTCTCGTGTCTTTTGCGTTGGTTACAAACAATGAATGCTGCCATCAAATAAAAGGCCTTATCTCAGGGAGACGCCAAGCAGACGCGTCTCCATGGCAGCATTTTATGTCCGCCGCTTGGCATAGGGCTATAAAAAATGTTCTAGCCAAAAAGAAGAAAAAAAAAACACGAAAACTCCCTCTCTGCCAAGGGCTTAAGGCCATGCCATACCAGGGCAGGGAGGTAGAGCATGAGAGTGCTGTTGCCAATAGTTGGCAAGTGCCATTGTTAAGATGGCTGGCTGGCTGGTTGGTGGCTGAGCCATTGGCCTCCACAACGCGTTTCTCTAATAAAATCAAAATAAATCTATTCAAACCATTTCCAATCCTCTTTGCGCCGGGGCCATAAAAGAAGAACACCAAAAGCAGAATAACATAAAGTTATTATGAAAAATGATTTGTACATAAAACTTTGATTCTACCAAAATCCAAGGAGGAGCAGAAGAAGGACATCATTTCGTTTCTATTTGATTTTAGGCAAAAATCAAACTAGTCACTCGAGGAGAAGGAGGAGGAGGAGGGGAGAACAAACGAGAATATCATTTTGCAATACTCCAATACTATACGACAAAGCCAGCTCACTTATCGACAATCAATAAACCGAAGAAGAAGAGTCGAGAAAAAGGCCATGCCTGCAAACCCCACAAAAGAAGGAGAAAGGACAATTTGTAATTCGTATCAAAATGTAGAACAAGAACCAAAGCATTGCCTCAAGACAAAGGCAAAATTGACAAAACAATAAAGAAAATAGATTGGTATTTGTGTTGTTGTGGTTGTTGTTGTTTTCTGTTTGTGTGGGGTATGAGCTTTAAATGGCCTATGATGGACATTTTGGGGCAGTTATAGTCAAGGACGTTGTACTTAGGTTTAGAGAGAAAAATAGAGAAAAACAATAAACTATTATTGCGTGCAATTGTTATTGGCCCATGTATCACAGGACAATTTTTTTGTTGCATTTACTGAAATGTAATGAAGTGTCCGACCAGATATTTGGAATGTTTTTGAAATTGATCTACGGTATCTATTACAAAATTTGAAATGGTTTTCATATTTGTTTTAAAGTTCCTTTTGTCAATTTAAAGTCATTCACAAAATGTAATGAAATATGGGGGCTGGGAAATTTAAAGAATGATTAATTTTCAAATTTTTCTAAATTAATGTTGAAATTGAAAAAAATCTTAAAATTTGGAAAGGAAGATTAAAAAGGAAATTGGGGAAAAATAAATCATATATATTTGCTTAATTATGGAAAACCCGGTTATGCGGTTAGAAAATGTAAAAGTCTTATCTGAAAAAAGTAAAGTACATTTACCGAAACTATATTTAAACTTAAACTTACTTTTATGACAAATTTTGAAGACGCATATAATTTAATTGGTCTCCCATTTTGAGCTCATCAAACATTTGGTACTGCATAGATATTTTGGTATTGAAAATGCAAATACTAAAATTTTAATTTAGTTTGGGATCAATTCTAGTGTTAGGGTCTATAAACTACAGAGCGTATGTAAATTTGTGCTATTGAGTACAAAATACTAAAAAGTGTTAGGAATTAGAGAGTACGAAATACCGAAATGTACTAATAAGTGGAAGAAAGAAAGAAGGTATATGGCATATCGTGGATTGAGCCAGAATTCGTAAAATTTGCATATGACCGTCATAAGGCGGAATTTTTAAAAGTTTGTAAAGGGGCAACCCCTCGTAAACCAGGTTTGATATAAAGGGAGATTTTTGAAGAAGCGTTTTTCAAGTTTTGGTACGAAAGGTACTAAAAGTTACAAAATTGGCACTGAGCGTTTGTGGAAGACTATAACTTTGAAAATGTTGATAAGGGTTGAGATGAGGTGGGGTTTATGGAAATTCGTACTTTAGTATTATTAAAAGTGCAAAAAGCTGAATGGGTGAAATTTTGAACAACTAAGAGTAACTCTAGCTGAAGAGAGGTTAAATAAAAATCCATTCAAGTTCAGACTGTTGTCATTTCTAAGCCACACGTCCGACAGCTGTTAATTAATTATTAAAGTGACAGCACAATATATTGTTTACAAGCGTACAAAAGCATTCTAGTGAGAATTTTCGAGAAAAAAAGTTATTCGTGATGGAATGTAAGCGTGATAGGGTGTGTGATTTTTCTGGAAAGCCAAGAAAACAGCAACATCAGCAGCAATGGTTCGAAAAGTAAATAAGCGACTTGATCAAAAACCGCGTCGCAGTGGCCGAAAAAATGGCTCGTTAGCTCAACATATCGCAATATTCCATTTGACAAATATTGAAAAGTGGGTTCGGGGTAAAGCCATTGAAATTCCAAAAAGTGCAAAAACTTGCATCGCAACAGAAAGAAAATCAAAAGAGCTAAAGAGTTGTTTTGTTGGCCGATAGGGGTGAACTGTCGAATTTGGTTTTCTCCGAAGAGAAATCATTCGTTGTCCAGCAGTTTGTAAACAAACAAAATGATCGTGGTTACCTGCCAAAGAGGTCAGCTGAATGTGCAAAATTGTGCACCTTTGGTTGGCCTCCAGAACTTAAGCGCCGGCCATGGTGATGGTGTGGGTCCGTTGGACTTTTGAGTCTGGAGTATTTTGGAAAGCAAGGTTGGCACTTAAAAATATCAAAGTGTCGATCACCTCAAGCAAGCGATTCGCCGGGAATGGGACAAAATACCGCAGAGCAACATTCGAGCAGCGTGTGGTGATTTCATTGGCCGTTTGAAGGCCCTAATTCATGTCAAAGGTGACCAATTCGAACAAATCTAGACGTATTCGAGATTTTTTGTTTTCATTCAATAAAATTTAAAAAGAAGTAAAAATTATGGCGTTTGTCTTTTTTTGCAGTTTTTATGAAATACAGCTCATTTATATTTTTGCCAAATTTTATCGAGATCGGTTCAGATTTCGATATAGCTCCTATATATATCATTACACGATATCAAATTTATTGTGCAACAAATGGTTAATATAAGCCCGAATTGAATGGATTTCGGCACAAACGAACGAATTTAGCCCCATAAAAGGTTTATTTGTTATATGTAGCTCTTCTATATATGCAAAGTGGTGTAGGGCATAGATGCCCAATGTAATAGTGTTGGTGAGAGCGACAAAATAACACTGGAAGAAAAGATTTTTCTATTCATTTTATTTAGTCGTCAACGGGATAGCGACGAAAGCATATGTGTGGCGGGTGTCGTCATTTTTTTTCTTTTTCTATGAAATGTAAAATTAATGAATATACATGTTTTAGTAATACTCTTGATAAATGCATTTATTTAAGTAGTTTCAAAATGTTTTTTTAAATTATATTTCTTATTTTTTTTAATGTCTTATAACATATAAAACATTGCATATCATCAAAAGCATTTTGTATCATAAAATACTTTTCAAATGACATCATTGACATATCGCAATAATTTTCAGTTTATGTGTTCACTAACAGCAGTCTCGATTACGATTAAATGTTAATATTACACAGAACTTCTGCCTGTGTAGCTTGTCTCTCCCACTCATATTTCTGCTTTCCTATTGGTTGATTGGCGATCAAACAAAAGAGCGTAAGAATACGTGTGAGTTGAAATTGCTGAAATCAGCCACTACTGGGCATCTATGGTGTAGGGTATTATAAAGTCGCCTTTCTTTACCGTTTTCTTTTACAGATTCACCTATAAAAAGTCGAATCTGTAACTATTCCCAAATTAAGTGATGTAAACTCTTGTTTTAATAGTACGATTTTCTATATTTCCCTCCACGTTTTCAATGTTGCAGATAACCAATCTCTAGCATTGGAAATATTTGCGTGTACTCATTATTTCTTACAACAAGTATACGCAGCATTGAAAAAATTTAGTTGCCCTTAAAAGTATGCAATACTAAAGTCCAGTTTGTAATCAATTTCGAGCGTCCTTCTTTCAAAACTCCCCTTCGATTTCATTACACAAACACCCCGATGGGAAGAAATGTTGATTTTATGACTATGCCAATAAAAAAGGAAACATTTGACAAATAAATTGATATCATTAATATCAAACAGAGCAACAACGACAACAAGGAAAACAACAGGAATGAACGAAACATATAATCAAATGTTTTTGCGGTATTTATCAAAAAAAAAAAAAAAAAAAAAAAGGAAAGAAAGAAAGACTACGGACAAATTAAATGTCACCTTGTTCAAGGCAAATGACAGTCTTAATGACTCAACTTTAGTATGATTTCAATTTCCTCCACTTCACTTCAATCCACTCCAGCCAGGCACTCAGCTCCCACTCAGTGGTTCACTATTGCCACGGCTAATGACCACTTGAGGTTTGGCTAATGTTTTGATGTTGTTGCTATTGCCGGGCGAAGGCTGATGGGTGATTACAAATTATTCGTAGCAGGAGTCCAAATGACAGGAGTCCTTGATGACTTCATAAGGCTTTAATGAGTATCAAAAGTAGCTGTGGCAACACCAACAACAACGACAACAACACCAACAAATCATTGAAAGTCTCTCGAAAAAAAAAAAAACGAAGTACTGTTAATGGATTTAAGCAGTTGTAAGCTAAGTGGTAAATGTTTATAACTTTCTTTGAATGTGTGTTCGTGTTGGTAGTTTTTGTTGCTCCTTCCATTTTTTTCTTCTTTTTTGTTGGCTAAAGTATATTTTGTGTTTCCTTTTGCGGTTTGTTGTAATAAGCCTAATTCTTGTTGTATATTAATGCCTTTTTATTATTTGGATCTTTTAATTAGTTTAGGATACAGGCTTCAAATTAATTTTGGTTAATTTTTTCGGTTGGATTTTTTTCTCATATATATTAGATTTGGATTTGCTTCGGAGACCATGTGGAGGAAATGAAGTCTTCAAGGATCATTAATGGATTTGCAATTGGTGGGGCAGTTAGTTGAATACATATGGGGAATTTTAATTAAAGGAAATCGTTTTTATTACAATATTGAACAAAAAAATAATTTAAGTAATAAACGAAACTAAATGGCGGGATCACTTGAGAAAGTCAATTCTATAATTTAATTCCTAAAAATGGATTTCTAGACCAACAATACTCATCAGTTATTGATTTGAACATCGTTTCAATTTATGTATATTTTAGGTCGAATTCTTTAACCTCCGGATGAAAGTATCTATGTCTAACTTTTGATATTTTTTTTAAAAAATCAATAAGCTTTTTCCTAACTTAAAAACCGTTTTCTTTTTGATGTCTACTCCTACTTGTCATCGAATAAAAATCCGCATCCTCATCCTTGTTAATACACCAAAATGTCAGTGCATTAAATAAGTTAATTTAATTTTTTTTATTATCTATCCATTCGAATTCGCATATATTTGTCATTTTCCGTGTCCTCTCATTTGTTCGAAAACCACAAAAGCAGTTTTGTGGTTCTTTTAATTATAACACCGACATTATCAATCAACAACTGGGAATTTATGGCCGATGTAAATAAACCTCAAAAAATTAATTTCTCATTTAATTGCTGTTGGCCTTAAATAAATTTATGGCGAACAATAATTAAAGAATTTAAATGGAATAAAATGAGTGAATATGATTTGTTTACAAATAATTCAGTAAAATCGTGGAAGACTTTCGGAATACATAAAAAGCTATGTCTTACTCTGAAATTGTTAAGAAAATCGAAATTCATAAGGGATTCCTGGAGGGACATATATTTTTAAAAGAGGTCAATGTAGTTCCTAAATGTATGAATGATACCAAAAATTTAATATCACTCATAGGCAGATTGTCCATAAAAACGACCGAAGTGCACGGAACTAGTTCGTTCGATCAGACTACAGGGTGAGATGAAAAAACTGCAAAAAAACTCTTCGTGATGGAATTCAAGAGTGATAGTGTGATTTCTTTATATTTGGCTGGAAAGCCACAGGTGGCTATCGTTAGAGCACACCAGCATTTAAATGTCAATAATACTGGCAGCGTAGCCCGACGTCAAGGAAGTGGAGGGAAGAAACAGCAACATCAGCAATAATGGTTCGAAAAGTAAAGAAGCAACTTGATCGAAATTGAGCTGAACATATCACAATATTTCATTCGCCAAATATTGAAAAATGAGCTCGGGATAAAGCCATTGAAATTCCAAAAAGTGCAAGAACTTACACCGCAAGAGAAAGAAAATAGACTCAAAAGAGCTAAAGAGTTACTTCGCTTGGCCGAAAGTGATGAACTTTCGAATTTGGTTTTCTCCGATGAGAAAACATTCGTTGATCACCAGTAAACACACAAAATGATCGTGTTTAATTGCCAAAAAGGTCAGCTGAAAATGTGCAATTTCGGTATGCCATTAGAACTCAAGCGCCGGTCATGGTGATGGTGTGAGCCGCCATAACAGCCGATGGTCGCTCTCCGCTCGTATTAATCGACCATGGCATCAGAATAAATGTCGAATATTATCGCGAAAATATTCTGAAGGGTGTATTAAAGCCTTGGGCACGCAAACATTTTGGCCGCAGACCTTGGACATTCCAACAGGACTCAGCACCATCGCACTCAACCAGCGCCACCCATGAATGGTTAAAAAATGAGGTTCTTCGCTTCATTTCCAGCGCACAATGGCCATCAAAATCTGCGGATACCAATCCGTTGGAGTATTTTGGAAAGCAAGGTTGGCACTAAAAAATACCAAATTGTCGATCACTTCAAGCAAGCGCTTTGCCGAGAATGGGCCAAATTACCGCAGAGCAACATTCGAGCAGCGTGTGACGGTTTCATTGGCCGTTTAAAGGCCATAATTCGTGCCAAAGGTGACCAATTCGAAGAAATCTAAACTTATTCTAAAATTTGATGGTATTTCCGACATTTTTTGCTTTCATTCAATAAAATTAAAAAAAAATTAAATTACGGTGTTGACTTTGATGCAGTTTTTTATATCTCACCCTGTACCTTGTTATGTTTAAAATTATTATTTCGATGAGTTACAAATGGATTGGCGAACTTAATTTACCCTCCAATCAAGGGGAGAGGTAAAACGGTATAAAATAAAACTAGTGGGTCGCAAAGGCGGATTCGAAAAGCAATTTAAGAATACTGGGGGAATATCATTAACTCAGATCACCCTCAATTCATTGGAGATGAAGAAATTATGTTGTCCTGACAAACTGGTGAGATATGACTTCGTATTAGGTCCTCAATTCGTATTTATATGGAGTGTGGAAATAGGCCAAATATGTTGCATCAAAACCACTTATTTAACAAGTATAATCTGCAGTCAATCTACTCCCTTCCGGAATCGAGCACAGCATCCGTTACTCAATTGCCAAAAAGTAAATAAAGTATACCCAATTTTTTCTATTGGCAGCAGATCTCCCACTTGAATTTGAGTAGAGAGTGAAACCTCGAGTTCCTGGGAGTTCCGGCTGCTACAATAACAAATTTTCTTATAATAATTATCAGTTTCCAAAAGAGTTTGTGAATTACTTCGGAGTTTTTGTGGCCTTCACTATTTTCAATATTTCACCAAAAGGGGCAAATTTTCGAAAATAACGAATAATTCCCTACATGTGTTGTGTTGGAAAATTTTTGGTTTTTTTTAGAAATTTTTCTCGCGAGATTATGGTAAAGCAAATATACTCTGAGTTTTATAAAAATTTTTAAAATATACTGGACTGAGAAATTACAGCTCTAAAAACTGCTTGTATTTTAAAAATTAATTATTTTTTATCGAAGAGACTAAAATATAAAAATGTTTCACTTGACAGGAGATTGGGACAAATATTAAAATTCCCTTGGGCTTTGAGAAAATTACTTAATTTATTAAAACTTACGTTGGTTCTGATGGTCTTGCCTCGGCCGAACGATAACGCGACGATGACTGTAAACGCATCATACGTGGCCCGTCCGGTTCCTCCTGATGCAGACGACTCATGGTGTGATGGGCATAGACCGGTTGATCATTGTAGGAAGCATCATCACCATCATCTTCCATTTCAGAGGTGTCATCTTCTTCATCCTCATCTTCGTCGACTATATCTTCATCCTCCTCGTCCACATTTAAGGGATCCTAAATAAGAGTGAAAATAGAAAACGAAATGAAAAATAAATTTTGACATACTTTATAGGTATATTTGACAACTTTAATATTTTATTCGAAATACATTCGTGCGTATATTCAGTTTCAATCATTTCCTGTCGCTCATTTGTTTCCATTATTTATGTGCCCGAGTGTCGGCGTTTAATACTCACCCGAGGACCACTGCTACCCACAATTATTGTGCCGCCACCCACATTCCCCGGCGCGGACTCACACGAAATGCCCGTGGTACACTGCTGAACGCTGGAGGGCTTTGTCAGAGGATCACATTTGGCGCTCAAACCGCCATCGGCTGATTTACATTCGACATTACGCATCTGTATGCCTTGGCCGCAGGACTCGGAACACTTTTGGTACGTTTCGTATGGCGTTTGCATGAGAAATGAGAAAAGAGAAAAATGCACGGAAAATGTTAGCACATCTACACACATACATACACATATGCATACATAGTCTACGTGAGCACTTTGCTCGCGATGGGGGAGTGTGAGACATGTTAGCGATATTAACTAAAACCAAGAGCAACTGACTTAGTTTATGGCTGACGTTTAAAACCTGACAGCAAGTGAGTGAGTGTGTATGTGTGAGCGTGCGGTAGACAAACACTCAGATAACCAACAATCTTCATTTGCCTTTATTCATTGTCGGCATTAATTTTTTATTTTTTTGTTGTTGCCGTTGTTCTTTCATTCATTGCAGCTACCGCAACTACATTATGGTTACGCCTGAAGGGTGCCAGTCATCAAGTTAGGCATTTAACTGTGTGTCGGTTTGGCTCTGTGAATGTATGTGTGTGTGGCGGGTTTTTTGGCTTCCTGCTTTAGATTGCCTGTAATATTTGTGGCAAATTTACGTTGTTCACGTACCAGTTTGCCACGGCTGTCTTAGCAGATAATCTGCATAAAGACATACATATGTAAATTGTTGAGAAGAATTGGCAAAAGCACGCCGCCAACAATTTTCTGAAAAATTACATATTAATGTTACTACGTCCTGGAAGGAGGAACAATATTAAAAATTTTTGCGTAGTTTTCGTGTCTTCTTTGTGATACAGGAATGGAAGTACAAGAAAAAAGTCTGAAAGGTCGTGTTTGAATGTTAATACAGTGGTAAATTTTCTGAATCGAAACATGGTGGCCTTTGGGTTTGAAAATTGTGAACAATTTTCCGCTTTACTTCAAATTTCATATACTTGACACACATTTTTAATATCCTATGAGGATCTTAATTATTGAAAGTGGTTTACATAGCCCCAATATATTCATACATATAAAACATACATATGAAACACAAAACGAGATCGATTGGAAACCCCTGATCTGGTTTCGAAACACATTTCTGGATAAGATTCCGTCACAACTATATGGCCAAAATAAGCGGGAATATGGGTTACTCTTAGTACATGTTTATGTTTTAAAAATATAAAGGTGAAAATCTATAATTCTGAAATCGGGGTAACTGTTGATGTTAGCAGTAAGATGGTGTTTTGGAAATGTGACAAAATATGTACCAAAAGTTACGTAGTTTCGTATCAATACAGGGTGTAAACTCATACCAGAATTAGGGAATTTTGAGGTTTTAAATTCAATCTCTCTAGGTATGAACAATTCACATAGGGGCACATTTTTGGAAATTCGAACCCAAAGGCACTTTTCGTACGGACCCACTATTTGATTTACATTTATCGGAATTTGAAGTTTTCATCCGAGATTTGGAAATTATACTTTGAAAGTCCTTGCCACATTTTCCAACTGAATGAGCTGCTTCTAAAATGAATTTATCCATAAATTTTAAGGATTCTGAAACCAACCGATTTGGTTACGAATACATCTTTATACACTCCGCCATACATAGTATGGAGGGTATATTAAGTTCGTCATTCCGTTTGTAACTTATCGAAATAATAATTTTTGACCTAAACAAGTATATATATGCTTAAGCAGTGTAAAATTTTAAAACGATTTAGCCCTGTAAGTCCGTCCGTCCGATTTGCACAGAACGGTACCCCCGATATTTGGTGTTTTGGTGATTTTAGCCACATTTATGGAACGGTCTGAAAATCCACGCAAGGAGTTCTTTGTGAATACTTTATCCCCTAGAAGAGAATTGTGTATATATATAGATCCACGATATCAAATAGCCCCCATGTAACGGTACCCCCAAATTCGGTATTTTTATGATTTCCGACAAATTTTTTAATGGAATTGTCTTAAAATCCACACTAGGGTTTCCTTCTGAGTACTTTACCCCTTAGAAGAGAATTGTCTAAGTATAACGCCCATATAATGGTACCCCCAGATATTCGGCATTTTTATGATTTTTGCGACATTATTCACAGGAATTGTTTCAAATTTCGTATATAAAGTTCGAAAACGTTACTATAGCCTATGTCACAAATTACTTATGCAGGACCGTATAGCCCCATATAAAGGGTTTCATGAGAACGGTATTTTTCGACGGATTTTTTTTTTTGAAAATTTTCAAAATGGTTGATGGTTAAAAAAGTTCGGGCGAGCTGTTCTTTTACTTGTTCTTATAAGAGAGGCTATCGGAATTCACGAACGTTTTTTTTTTTATTTTTATACCCTCAATTCTATGCTACGGAGGGTATGTATTATTTGATACGGCCAAAACATGCCTCATCGAAATGACGGTTTTAGGCCCTAAGTCTCTATGGACCGAATCCGTTTCGGGACATTTGGATCTAGGTATGTCTGTCCGTCTGCCTCTCTGGCTGGTAAGCACGATAACTCTAGAAGGGAATACCCGGTTTGATCCAAACTTGGTACATCGCAATATTATTAACAAAATTAGATTGGGTTTGGAGATGTATAATATCGGACCACACCTTCTGTTACCTCCGCCACAAAAGGTCAACATTTTCAAAGAAAACTATTTACCTTATAGAACAAAAAATGATAAACAGATTTTGTGCGAACTTTGCAGATCCCAACATCTTTATCAATGCTAGGTCAGGATATATAATAATGGATATAATTGACCACTACCTCAGATACCTCACCCACAACGGGTCAACATTTTGGGTAATAAAGAAGCTGCCTTCCTACAGCGGGTCAAAATTTTGAATAATTATAAGTCTCAGAAAATGCGATATTAGCACCCGATTGCCTTCAAATTTCGCACACCTCAACATTTCTACCAACACAAGATCTGTTGTGAACATGGACAATATCGGACCACTCCTTCTGGTGCCTCTCCCACAACTGATCAAGATTTAAATAGCCGTAAAGCTCATAAAACGTGAAATGAGCATTCGATTTTTATTCAAACTTGGCAAATCCCAATACTTCCATTAACTCAACATCTGGATTGAAGATGGGACATAAAAGGGTCAAAATTTTGAATAACAAAATATTGATAATTCGCATATTAAGCATCCGATTCTCCTCAAATTTCCAAATCCCAATACCTCTTCCAAAAATTTCTCTGGTGTGAAGATGAAAGATTTCGACCAACCCCCTTTGGAACCTCCTCACAGAGGGGGACGTGTGATTTGATAATTCAGGTTCTCAGAAAATATGAAATGACCCTACAAAAATTGCGCAATTATTTAAAATGAAATAGAATTGTTATTCTCCATTTATGATAATTCGCACAATGAAAAATCTTTTATATCGGCCAAAGTTTTGATATAAGTCCCTTTATATCGGATCAGTCGGTTTTTTTGGGAGCTTAATGGGCCCACTTCAGTACCCTACCAAAAAAGCTGTGGTTTTATGGTTTGAAATCGCAATAGATGGATCTCATTTTACTAAATAATGTGTTATTTGCATCCAGGTTTTGGAATGGGACTTACAAAGAGCTAATCAGATTTTCCAACTGAAGGGGATTGAGTATAAAACACCAATTTTAAGGATTTTGAAACCGACCCATTTGGGCACAGATATAGTTTTTCCACGAGAGAGGATATGGAAATATCAGTTCTCTTGACCTTATAGCTTTTTGTTTTGTTTTTTTTTTTTTAATATTCTCCAATATTATTCCACTTTTTGGAACATTTCAGAACCTGTCAGACTTGATATATCCTTAATCACAAATATATGGATATGAATGCATCAACCTATATATATGTACTGATATATACATACGGAAATGTTTTATTTGTACACATGTACATGTGAATGTGTGTGCCATGAAGTTGCTGTGGCAGGACAACTTTATTATGATTTCAGAGAAAATTGGAAAAGAAATGTGTTGAAAAAATAATGTTAATGTTGATCTTAATGTAAATTTTCCTTGGTTTGTGGTTACGTGGTTGAGATATACATGCATTTTCCTGTTATTGTTGTATCTGTTGTTCGGTATGAGTGTGTGTGTTTGTTTGTTTTGGGCACATGACTGGTGTTGAGTGAGTGGATAAAAGTGAAGCGAAATTATAGCGGTTCATATTGTTGGGCAATTTAAATAAGAAACATTTAACATTTAGAGCGGGAATAATTAAATTTGGAAAAAATGGAGGTTTTTAAATGAGATAACTGTTTTTGGAATATTTTTCAGTCGACAGGAGCCGAAATTTTCAATTTTAAATTATTTGTTGAAAAACAAAAAACTCTTAAAACTTGGAATAACTTCCTTATTTGTTTCAAAGATCAATGGAAAGTGAAACACATTTTCAAATCGATACACTTTTCCAATACATGCGGGTTTTATTCACATTTCTTTTAAATTCTCTTCGAATTCGAACACATTTAGATAAAAAAAACTGCAAAAAAGTCAAACGCCATCATTTTTACATTTTTTTTTAAATTTTCTTGAATGAAAGCAAAAAATGTCCGAAACAGCATCAAATTTAAGAATAAGTTTAGATTTGTTCGAGTTGGTCATCTTTGGCACGAATTATGGCCTTCAAACGGCCAATGAAAGGGTCACACGCTGACCGAATATTGCTTTGCGGTATTTAGGCCCATTCCCGGCGAAGCGCTTGCTTGAGGTGATCGACACTTTGGTATTTTCTAGTGCCAACCTTGCTTTCCAAAATACTCCAGACATAATAATCCAACAGATTGGTATGCGGAGATTTTGGTCTCAATTGTGCGCTGGAAATTAATCGAGCGTACTCAAGGCTTTATTACACCCTCCAGAATATTTTCGCGATTATATTCGGAATTTATTTTGATGCCACGGTCGATTAATACGAGCGGAGATCGACTATTGGCTATTATGGCGGCCCACATAATCACCATGGCCGGCGCTTATGTTCTGGTGGTCAACCGAAGGTGCACATTTTCAGCTGACCTCTTTGGCAGTAAGAACGATCATTTTGTTTGTTTACAAACTGCTGGACCACGAAGGTTTATTCATCGGCCAAGCGAAGCCACTCTTTAGCTCTTTTGAATCTATTTTCTTTCTGTTGCGGTTTAAGTTCTTGCACTTTTTGGAATTTCAATATTTGCGGAATGGAATATAGCGACATGTTCAGCTATATTCCATCACGAATAACTTTTTTTCTGGAAAGTTCTCACCAAAATGCTTTTGTACGCTTGTAAACAATATAATGAGCTGTCAGTGGAATAATTTTAACAGCTGTCGGACGAGTGGCTTGGTAATGACAGCAGTCTGAAGTTGGTTGCAGTTTTTTCACCTTACCCTGTATCTTTCAATACTCCTTTACAAACATCCTATTTATTACAGGTGCCATAAAAGTTGTGTTATTTAACATGTCTACGTCTGACGTTGAGGCTCTCAAGTAAGAAAAATATTGCACCTTCCTTTTTTGGTTAACATTTTTGGAAATTTATGTTTACCCACTGCAGCAATCCTTGGCTAAGATAATGTAAGACCAGTTAGCCACAAACCAAAGGCAATTCTCAAAAACACCCAAGGAACACAAAAAACCTCCTGGTTGTACCATAATAATTTCCCTACATTCATGTTGGTTTTACCTTATGGCCAGTTAGTTGCTAGACAGGCCATGAAAACCAACGTTTTAAAAATAAAAATCCAAAAATTTTAAATTTAAATGCCCGCATGAATACATCTTGCGGGCCATAACGGGGATTATAGGCACTCCAACCATGGAGAGGATAAAGAGTTAAAGAATACCAAAAAAAGGAAAACGAAAGAAATACTTACGCTAGACCACTTTTCAACTTCCCACTTTGGACATTCGGCTATAATGCACTGCTCTTGAGTTGGTGGTTTGGGCAAAGGGCACAGCGAGTCGGCAACCTGGAAAGTAAACATACAAATAGAGAAAATGAAAGCTTAGTTAGAATATTTTTTTTGCACATTTTTACACTATAAGCACTTGATGATGGCCAACATCAAGTGCTAGGCTTAAACAGCAACAAAACGAAAAAAAAATGCTAAAGAGGCAGATGAATAAGGATTTTGTGCTGCAAAATTAGCTGGCTAATTTTAGTGGTTGTTTTACAACAGCATTTACAAGACAATTTAGAAAATGTCATCATCATCATCAGTTTTATGGCAAAGTAGCCCGGCTTAGTTTTAGGCCAAACTCAGGACACACACAAAAAGTTTCTAATTTTAATTTTGTCCCCAAAGTCGGTGGCAGCAAAGAGTTTGGCTGAAAACGAAAACTAGTTAGGGCGCTAAATGCCCTTAAGGAAACTTCCAAAAACATTAGTGTTGCTGCAGAGCTGGCCGGGCGGCTTGCCATGGTGCTGTTCGTTCGTTGGCTCGACATCTTTGAAAATTCAGGACAATGTCTAATTTTAACTTTGTTTTTCATTCTTCTCCCCAGTTTGGTTTTTTCCCCGTAGTGCTGGAGTCGTAATAACAAAAAACTGGAATACGAAAAAAAAACTGCATTCAAAACTTACTCTTGTCTTTAGGCCATTGTTCTCCTCGGCACACACAACCATACGGGTGCGTATTCCTGGACCACAGGGACGGTGACAAGGACTCCAATCGTCCGCTATCCATCTGAAAAGAACATAGAGTTGAAAAATACACACACACAAACACAGTACCATTAGTTAACAAGTTAATATTTGGCAAAAATTAAATTATTATCAAATTTTGAAGGGTTAAGTGGCAGTTAATGTTTCCAAAATAAAGTTAATTTCTATGTTGTGATGGTAATCGGAAATTGGCTGGTGGAAAAGGGCTACTTTAGGAAATTTAAAATATTAGATTTTAATTCAGAAAATTTTTGACTTTAATTTATCTGATTTTGCGAAGAAAAAAAGTAATAATATACATTTCTTTTGCGGAGGTATTGCAAAAATAATCTTCTAAATGAAATCTGACATTGAAGCTCCAACAACCACTAACATAGTTTCTTAGGAATTCAGAGCTGATATGAGCTTTAGATTCTACTAAAATGGCTCTATTGCTCCATCACTTTCCGAATTGGAATTGGGAGTAGAAATGTCACTCGAATAAGTGCTAGAATACTTTTCTTATTTTCGAGTTGGAGTAAAATTCGCTCGAAGTCGATCAGATTTTTTTATACAGATGATAGTGTTACTGCTTCCGCTGTTTTTCTCCTTTTGGTTTCGTATATGAATCTCCCCAGCTCAAATCAATATTAAACCCTGTTTCCTATGAAACACACACATACCAACACACAAGTCAAGTAACCAAATATTATTACCTCCCGATTTCCCTCTTAGAGAAAACTTACTCTATTTCGAGCATTTCGACTTCAATTCAAACGAAACAGACTCGCGAGCGTTTCTACATTACTCAAAAAAGTGGAGAATAAAATTCACATAAAACTCCGAGCTCTCCCGCTCACTATCAAATTTATCTCCCGATTAAAATCGAGCAAATCTGAGTTCTGAACCAAAGGATTCCGAAATGAAAATAAGTTTTAAATACTGTGTATATAACTATATTTTTGATCCAGCTGTAGGGAAATTTAGACACGTAAAGACCCAGCAGAAAAAATTTATTTTTTTCCAGATGATGTAATGATACCATATGAAAAAGTTTTGATAAGCTGAAGTTTACCCGAGTTGTGTCTTTATAGACGAACTGGGGGAGTCTTTATAGACAAGCTGAGGGAGTCTTTATAGACGAGATGAAGGGAGGCTTTATAGGCGAGATGAAAGGAGGCTTTATTGACGAGCTGAGGGGTTTATAGACGAGCTGAGGGAGTCTTTATAGACGAGCTGAGGGAGTCTTTATAGACGAGCTGAGTCTTTATAGACTAGCTGAGGGAGTCATTATAGACGATATGAACAGAGGCTTTATTGATGAGATGAAGGGAAACTTCATAGCCGAGATGAAGGCAGACTTTATAGACGAGCTGAAGGAAGGCTTTGTAGACGAGTTGAGAGGAGACTTCATAGATGAGCTGATGGAGTCTTTGTAGACGAGCTGAGGGAGTCTTTATAGACGAGCTGAGGGAGTATTTATTGACGAGCTGAGGGAGTCTTTATAGACAAGCTGAGGGAGTCTTTATAGACGAGCTGAGGAAGTCTTTATAGACGAGCTGAGGAAGTCTTTACAGACGAGCTAAGCGAGTCTTTACAGACGAGCTAAGGGAGTCGATACAGAAGAGCTAAGGGAGTCTTTATGGACGAGCTGATGGAGTCTTTATAGACGAGCTGAAGGAGTCTTTATAGACGAGCTGAGGGAGTCTTTATAGACGCGCTGAGGGAGTCTTTATAGACGAGCTGAGGGAGTCTTTATAGACGAGCTGAGGGAGTCTTTATAGACGAGCTGAGGGAGTCTTTATAGACGAGCTAAGGGAGTCTTTATAGACGAGTTGAAGGACGACTTTATCGACAAAAGCTGAAAGTCGTCTTCATCGACGAGTTGAGGAAGTCTTTTTAGAAGAGCCGAAGGAGTCGTTATAAAGCGACTGAAGCCAATCTTTTCGACTTTTTATGAGCTGAAGCGGGTCACATAAATGAGCTGAAGGGGGCCTCCATAAATTGACTGAGTGTCTAGTTGAAGGGCGACTTTATCGACAAAAGCTGAAAGTTGTCTTCATGGACGAGTTGAGGAAATTTTTTTAGAAGAGCTGATGAAGTCGAGCTGATGATAGAGTTGCTAAGTCAAACTGAATAGAGAGAGAAATTTTTTGATGGACTGAAGAGAAAGAGTCTCTAAGACGATCTGAAGAGAGATTTATAGAAAGCGAAGGTGTTTATATACATGGGCTGAGAGGGAGGAGAGAGAAAGAAGCTGGAAGAAAAGTCCCTTTGGACGAGTTGAAGAAAGAGACTTCAAAGACGAGCTAAAGAAAGAGTTGAAGGGTAAGTCTATATAGACGAGTTAAAAGGAGAGTATTTATAGAGGAGCTGAATAGAGAGTTTCTATAAAGAAAGCTGCTGAAGTTGCTCTATATACAAGCAGAAGAGAGTGAGGATCTCAATAGAGGAGCTAAAGAGAGAGAGATATTGTTTATAGACGACCTGACGAGCTAAAAAGAGAGAGAGTTTTTATAGACGATCCGGAGAGAGAGAGGAAAAGAAGTTTCTATGGACGAGCTGAAGAGAGAGTTTCTCTATGGAAGAACCGAAGAGATAGACTGACACTTTATAGAAGAGCTAAAGAGAGAGTTTCTATAGACGAGCTGCAGGGATTCTCTATAGACTGACTTTTATTACATAATTGTTAGTTTGCGGGGGATATACCAGGAAAAGATGGAACGAAGATTTTGGATAAACATAATCCTCATATGATTATCCAAAATCTTGACAAGAATGTGGGGTAGAGACCAGTAGTGGGTCGATAAATATACCGAACAAATGCTGGAAGTTTTCCGCTTTTGTTGAGACAAGTTTTCAGTCGTATTTAGTATTTGGTATGGAGTGCAGTTGATTGTAGAAGTAGAAGTACAGTATTTTGGCAGACATTTTCGCAAGCTGGCCCTCTATGAAAATGGCCTCTATTTCGCCACACTTCCATTTATACCTTTATCAATTATTTGAAATTGATTTCCTTTTTTTGGAAAGCATGTTGCATTTTTCGAAATAAATGTCTCACAAATGTTGTCCCGTTGCATTTGCGTGGCACAATTTCGCAATTAGTTTTGCCATGAAATATTTAATTTCCCTATGCTAAGCATTTGGGTTTTGCCTGCTGTTAGCTGGCAACGAATGTTAAAAACTTCAATTACAGTTTAAACCTCCTGTGAAACGTTAAATTACATTTTGCGGTAGCTAACCAACAAAAGTGCCACATTTACAATGGGAACAGCGAGCGAGCGAGCGGGTGAGCGAGCTACCAAATGCAGGCGAAAAAGTGAAATGCAATGAATGAATATAGGTTTGGAGGAGTAATGACAAGTTTCCCTACAACACAGCTCTCAATCACATAGCGCGGGGTGGTGGAACACAAACCCAACAACGAGGAAATGTCTCCATGAAATGTGTTCCATTCAAACCATCACTGGCATATCTTGACATTTTAGCCTCCCGCCCTACCTTTCCAAAAAAAAAAGAAAATACGAATTCTACTAAATCTTGTTTCTCTACGACAGCTACCCACAACTGCCACAGCTAAACAAGTGGGACAAAAACTCTACTTCACTTACCTGGGCGGACAGGTATGGGTGTTACACAGTTCCACAGATGGTTCAGGGCGATTAGCTGCATTGCACAGGGCATCCTCCACCTCGGTGCCAGAGACTCGACTGCGACACACAACACGAGACATCTTATAGCCTGAAAGCAAAACACAAGAAAAAAAACGGCAACATGAAAAGCAAGAATTCACAGAAAAAAGCAAAAAAGTTAGTGAGTGACACAGGGATACGGTAAATCTTGGAACTTTATTTGGCAGCAAAGGGAAAGACGATGCTAAGGAGGTTTCGTAAAAGGTAATTTAAGATTTGGTTTTACATATGTTGAAAATTGAGAGGGAAATTAAACATGAAATCATGGTGAAAATTAACAAATCTAGATGGCGCTGGGCTACCCTATTCAAAGTGTTGGAATATTGGGGATTCCGTTGCTGACAAATAGATTCAATTTCATGAACAGTTTTAATAATTCAGCGACATCTATGTGTGATAATTAGTTTTTTTTTCTCGAACCTGAAATTTTTCAGATGTGTCACCCTGAATAAACGAGAGATATGTGAAACACAGTTCTTAAATTTTCCCTAATAAAATAGCTTATATGTCTCTTTTCCCCTCTAAAATAATATTTAAGTAACTTGTAAAATAATCTGCTTTAACTTAAAGCCAGTTGAAAGTCCCCGAAATAAAAAACAATTTAAAAATTCAATGGCTTTGCTAGAATATTATATCTCCAACAAAGAAGAAAGAAACTCCATAGCGAAAGATTGATTTTGTTAATGTTGCCATTATTTGCCATGAAATCACAAACATAAACGTTTAAAACTTATTTGAGAGGCAAATGATTTTGGTGGACCCTCCGGCTGTGTTCTTGGTCACCGTGAAGCGTTGCAAGTCACCCAGTCACTACAAACATCTGTCCAAGTCTTAACAAAGTTTCACCGAACAACAGCAACAACAACAAGTTGTACATCATTGACAATGTCAATAAACTTTGACCAGGACATTTCCATTTTGTTTTCATTTTCCTTTTTTTCCTTTTTTTGGAAAATTACCATATCTACTTTAGTTGCAAATTATGAAATGTTTTGGCTTTTGGGCAATAAAGTGAAATGTTTGATGTCCCGAGGAAATTTGTTACAAGAAAACGAAAACTTTACAATATTTGAAAGGCATTTAGAACTGTTGTTGCTGGTGGTGGTTGTTGGAGGGGAAAATATGAAAGTAAGTTTGGAGGCAAAAAGCGAGCACTTCTTCTTTATCAAATAATTGAGGGAGTTCAATGGGGAGACTTAGAGACACTTAAATTTTGTGTGATTTGATTACTTCCATTGAAGAAAAACGGGCACCTAGTTTTGTAGTTCGAAATGTGAATAATTTAAAATGAAAAATTTATAACTTCAGCATCGCTAGTTTACTTTGGCAAATTAAAATTGTAAACTTTATTCACAAAAATGGAGAGGAAATAGTTTAAAAATATCAAATAAACAAAATTTTGATGATAAGAACAGGAAGTGGGAAAGTGTGAGTTGGTTCATAACATGAGTGTTGGCCTTTGTAACATGGGCATTGGAATCTAGGTTTTGTCCAATTATACCTTCAATAATATGGCTACAGAGGATATATGTCATTTGATATGACCAAAACGGAACTCATCGAAATAAAGGTTTTCAACCCTAGGTCTCTTTGGTCGAAATCCATTTCAGGTCATTTAGAGACGCTCTAGGCGTGTTCGTCCATCGGGCTGGTATCACCTATACCTCTCGAAAAGAGTATCCCATTTCGTCCAAACTTGATGCATCGTAATATTATCAAACTTCGATCGAGTTCGGAAATGGGCAGATCGGCTCACTCCTGGGTACCCGCGAATTTACGAAATTTTCAATTTTTTTTTAATGTACTTTATAGAGAGGAAGTTACATAAGATTTTCCTCAAACTTGGCAAATCCTAGTAGTCCTAGGTGCGAAAATTGCCTTCTCCTTCAAGTACCTCCCCTACAAAGAGTCAGAATTTTAGATAACCAAGACGTTCATAAAAGTCGCCATAAACATATGATTCTTTTAAATTCCAAATATCCTAAAATTTCTACCAATACAAGACCTGGTGTACAGATGGGATATCGATCTACTTCTACTGATACCTTCTCCTATAAAGAATCAATATTTTGAATAACCACAAGGCTCATAACAGCGATTTAAAAAAAACTTGCCACATCCCAATAATTTTATCAACAAAAGATCTGGTCTAAAGATGGTATATGTCAGCATACTCCTTCTGGTACTTCCCCCCAAAGGAGACTAAATTTTGAATAACCAAAGCGATCATAAAATGCGAAATCAGCTTTCGAATTTTTTTTATCAATTTATGAAATTGTATTAAGTAAGATAGGCGTTAGGATGGGATTTGGGCTTATGGAAACTAAGAAAATGGGATATCACTTATATACTTTAAACCATGTCGGATTTCAGCTCGCTGGGATCTCAGAAATTCAAATTTTTGTCATTTTTTGTTAGTCCATTTGTTTCTTGTTTTTATAACCTCACTCCGTTCGTGACGAAGTCAGTCGGTCTAGTTGTCTGTCTGTCTGTGGAAATCACTCTAGCTTCCGAATGAAATGAAGTAGGTTGTGTGGCAGCATGTGTTTCCATTATGTGAGATTAAATTTGATTTGAATATAGATCCCATATAACTTTACCTCCTGATATTCGGTATCTTGATAATTTGTGTCACGCTTTTATACCAGAAATGTTTCCAATTTGGAATTAGAAGTTCCTGCTCGGTCCAACATCTTTGGCAGAAAATTGCTCATGACAAAATTTGCAAGTACAGGTCCACGTTTTCGTATAGACCCCAATAAAATGTTTATACCCTACACCAAATAGTGGTAAGGGTATTATGTCTTTGTGCATTTGTTTGTAACATGAAGAAGGAAGCGAGATAGACCCTTTGTTACTTCTGCGGATCTTCATCACTTTCAGAGTCGATTTATGCACGGCAGTCCGTCCGTCTGTCCATGTATTCTTGTGAAAATTTTGAGAAAATCGGTTTAGATATAGCTGTAGCTCCCATATATGAGACATATATATATATATGGGAGCTACACCTATATCCGATTATGTGTTTAAGTACCTTACATTCGTAATATGCACCCCACAAGAATGATATTTGGTTTCAGATTTCTTATAGAGCTCGGGAATACCTATGCCAAATTTTATAAAGATCGGCTAAGATTTGGATATAGCTCCCATAAATATCCTTAATCCGATTTCAGGTTTATTGTGCAATTAATGGCTAATATCAGCCCAAATGGAGTGAATTTCGGGAGGTACGTTTCTATTTGGTGGAACTCGGCTCCGATACGTAGTTTTTAATATAAACCTTCTCGAAGTGACATCATGCACTCTATAGCAATGTTATTTGGAATATCTCCGTAAAATTTAATGAAAATCGATTCAGAATTATAACTGCTCTAAATCCAAATGTTGATAGGTGATATGGTCTACTTCAAATAAATTATTTTGTTACGGGAGCTCTACTCAATATTCATACTGGTGTAGGGTATCATATAGTCGGCAAAATTCGGCCCGAGAACCTAAACCCTGAATCAAATTTTCTCAATATTCCAAATATTCCTCTACTGTGTTATTCCCCACAAAAATTAAAAAAACGTAAAAGCGACATTTTCTAACCGGCCGAACTTCTATACGATTCTCTAACTAAAAAAAAAATACCGAAATCGGTTACCTTTCAACAACATTTTAACATTTAAGGTCACAGTTTCAAGAAAAATTAACTGATTCCAAGATCATACACTGTGATGTGCAAAGATGCCACTAAAGGGGACACTACCTTCGGTTCGCATTAGAAATATGACCCCTTTAATAATTTAGACCATTTGTGGGGGGTTTACAAGAAAAGGTACACCGACATATTCCACCTTACACTGAATCTGATTTTGGCAAACAAAATCGAATTGGTGAAATTTTACAAAAATTGGAGAATTTCAGAAATTTGACCACTTAAAGATGGATTGGCCCGGAAGGAATGAAATAATCGTATCAATTTTGTATCCGAGCGAATTTAGATAAAAATGTTATGAACCGCCAAGACAGGTATGTAGAATTGCGGACATCGGGCGTCCTGGAACCCGTTTTTTCTATGGGACACATTTGCCGTTTGAAATGATATATACCCTCTATGACCACAAGCTAAAGGGTATAAAACCGTTTTGGCCTGGGGACTAATTTTCTAGGTTGGCGCAAGAGCTAATTACCGAATAATTAGCAACCAAATTCTTCAGGGACTGCAATTTAATTACTTCCCTTTGGGATACTGGCTCAAAATGGTCATTTGCAGTTGTTAATTTGTGCTAAGGGATTTCTAACGATTCCACGATTAATGCATTGCTAGTTAAAATTGCGAGAGAGATAGAGTGAGAGCGAGAGAGCGCACGAAAACTCGATTGACATTCGACCTTAATGAGAAATAAATTGATTTAAATAATTAAATAGACACATTCATAGAGCAATGTCAATAAGGAGCGGAATTTGAAATATATGTAGCCATCATTGTGGATGGTAGGTATCCCGTCCGAAAAGGTAATTAAGTAATAATTTCAAAAAATGCTAACATTTACAAATTGTTGGAGAGGTCATACCATCAATTTTTGGTCATTAAAGGTTAACACAGGTAATTACTAGCCAAATTCAATAGCAAGAAAATAGGTCATTCAGGGGAAGCGGGGTACACTTGGGGAGCTATAATGAGATAGAGAAGGCGTTCACAAGGAGGTGGTAATAACTCGATAAGTAAATTGTTGACATCAATTGTCACGCTATGCCGTATATCATTTTTGTTTTTTTTTTTGTTTGGGGAGGTAAATGCGTCGTGGTACGTCTTGGCTTTAGTTTTTTTTTCACCCAAAAAGTCGAATACCAAAATATGAAATATTTGTTTATTGAATATTGGTAGTTCGGTTACTTGTGCTTTACTCTTTGTCAATCAATGATTGTTCATTGTATGAATTTGTTTTTTATTTATTAAGCCAAGCAAACAATAGTCGATTCTATACCAGCCAATAGCTGAGCTAGCGATACTTGCTTAAAAATTCGAATTTTCTCTTTTAGATTTTGGTTATTTTTATTCCATGTTGCGTGTCAAAGTTCAATTTCCATCTACCGAGAATGCGAAAGAAAAACTCTCAATCCTCTACCTCCACATTCACATTAAATGCAAAAATATTTGAATGTCAGTGGAAATCGATTCGAGTTCGACAGAAAAACAAACAAAGCTACCAACAAACGTGACTACCAAAAAAAAAAAAAAAGAAATCAGATAGTGTGAGTGTCGCAGACTATTTGGTAACGTTTCTAGTTTATTATTCTCGATCATTAAACACTTTATTGTTTACTCCATTGTTGTAGTTGTTGTTGTCGTTCGAGTTGTTGTTCTGGAAGTAGTTGTGTTTCGTGCCATTGCTGTTTTGTTTTCTGAAGTGTTTGTTTTGTGAAAGAGGATTAAGTCAACTCCTCAAAAAACAATAACGAAAGTCAATAAACGTTAATGAAATGGTTACAACCTTCAAAATTATTTGAATGGGCGAAAGGAATGGAATTTGGGGGCTTTGGGAAAAATCGTAGAATATAAAATACTATATTAATATAATATCAGCAAAAACACACAATCGGACAAACAGGATCTCAAGGATATTCCAAAGTCTAAAAACAAATCTTATCAAAGAATATCCAAATTTCTGATGAAAGAAGACAATAGATGTATTTACAGATAATAATAAATTGCATACATTGGAAAGACGTAATAAAAGATCTTTGAAAAAATGGCAAAGTACTCTTTTAGAACGAAATTTTGGGCTTTTATAGCAAAAAAGAGGAACATGTTTCCCGTAGAAGAGCGAGAGAAAAGAGAGAGAGAGAGAGAGAGAAGAGTTCCTAGTTTCTATAAAAGAATATAAAGTTGTCTCATTATATAAGTTGTTAGGTTGTCATAGTATGAAAGACCAACATGTGTTCTTCTGTAGACCAATAGCCATTTTATTTGATAGCAAAGTATTATTATTAAAGAAAATCGAAAATCTTCTTAGAAAAGTTCAACTGTGTTTTTATAGTGATCCTAGTGAAATTCTGTCGTCTAGTTATAGAGAACTAATATAATACCGATCATCATTTTCATATAAAAGTAAACTAGGGCTTCTCATACAGATGCTGTGGTCCTCTTTATAAGACCCAATTTATAAGATCTCTTTATAAGACCCAAATATTGGGATGTGCAAAGTTTATAGAAAATCGGACACTTATTTACAATTGTAGGAATAATTGTAGTCAAAATTCTACCCAGAAGAAGTGGACCTAAATATTTATTGGATCAATGGTTAACACGAAGTTTGTTAAAAATCCCTGACTTGTTTCGCATGTATGATGATATATAATTCTTCAAAATATTTACCCTTTGTAGGGAAGGTAGCAGAAGGAATGAACCGATATATTCCATCTTTACCCTAGATCTTGTGTCAGTGGGAATATTGGAATGTGTCAAGCTTAGAATGAGTCGGATACGTAGTTCGCATTATATTAACGTTTAGGTTATTCAAAATTTTAATAGGTGGGGGGTCAATATATTTCGTCTCCACACCAGATCTTGTTTTCGTAGAAATATTAGGATACATGACATTTTATTGAATTGGATTTTCAATTCGCTTTTTATGATCGTTTTGGCTATTCAACATTTTGACACTATGTGGGGGAGGTATCGGAAAAAGTACGCCGAAATGCACCATCTTCATAACAGGTCTTTTGTTGATAGAAATATTGAGATGTGAAGATTTTAAAAGAAATCAGATGCTCATAATGCGTTTTTCCAGCTTCATGGCTATTCAAAATGTTGATCCTTTGTGGGAGAGGTACCAGAAGGTGTGGACCGACACCGACCGACCCCCGACAAATTCCATCTTCACACCAGATCTTGTGTTTATAATAACATGGGGATGTGTGAAATTTGAAGACAATCGGACTCTCATTTCGCATTTTATAAGAATTATAAATATTCCAAATTTTGACCCTTTTTGGGGGAGGTACTTGATGGAGTGGGTAGATAATGTCCATTTTTAGACCTGAAGTAGCACTGAGAATAATATTGATATTTTAAATTATTTCCTTCAATATTTTGACCATTTGTGCGGGAGTAACCAGAAGGAGTGGAACGATATGACTCTTCTCCTAATTTTTATTTATTTTTGAAAACAATATTACGATGTACCAAGTTTGAACCGAATCGAATGCTCCCATCGAGAGTACCAGCCAGCCAAACAGAGAGATGGACGGGTGGACGGATATATTTAGATCGACTCTGAATGGACCAAATCCGTTTCAGGACCAAAGAGTTAGAAAACGGATGTCAGTCCATCCATGTACTTTTGTGAACAAAATGCAGGTAGCAATTTTTATCCGATTGAGATGAAATTTTTCCAAGAATATTTTTTTGGCCCAAAGATGAAGCCTATTGAAATTGGTGATAATCGGAACATACTTAGATATAGCTCTCAAATATCTTCTACCGATTTCGGGTTAATTGGTAACCAAATGGCCAATATTCGTCCAAATTACCTGAATTTTTGGATATCCGACCGAATTCTGTCGAGAAGCGAGTACATCAATTGTGGTGAAAATCGATTCAGATATAGCTATAGCTACCATATATATGTTTGTTGTGTAAGTCCCTCACATTCGTAATATGCATTCGACAACAATGATATATGGTACCAGATACAGCTCAGAAATACCTCTGCCAAATTTCGATTTGAATATAGCTCCCATATATATCTTCAACCAATTTCAGGTTAATTGTGCACCATGTGGCCAACATAAGTCCAAATGTCCTAAATTTTCTGTCTAGAAGCAAGTACATCAAATTTGGTGAAAATCGGTTCAGATATAGCTATAGCTACCATGTATATGTTTCATCCGATTTGGTGTTTAAATTCCTTACATTCGTATTATGCATTCGATAACAATGATATTTGGTATTAGATATCTTAAAGAGCTCGGAAATTCCTTTGCCAAATTTTATCAAGATCAGCTATGATTTGGATATAGGTTCCATATATATCCTTAATCAGATTTAAGGTTTATTGTCCAAATAATGGCTTATATCATCTCTAATGGAGTAAATTTCGAAAAGTACGTTTCCATTTTGCGGAACTCGGCTCCGATATATATTTTCTTATTATAAACCTTCTCGAAGTGATATCATGCACTCTATAGGAATGTTATTTGGTATAAAAGATTAAAATGTCTCTTTCAAATTTAATGAAAATCGTTTCAGGATTCGATATGCCACCCCATTAGTTCCCTCTGAAACCAAACTATAACTGCTGAAAGGCCAAATGTTGATAGGTGGTATGGTCTACTTCAAATAAATTATTATGTTACGGGAGCTCTACTCAATATGCATAGTGGTGCATATAGTCGGCCCTGCCCGACTTTTGACTTTTTCTTACTAGTTTAATTTTCTATACATAACTTCTCTAGAAAGTCCCTGCCCAAACAAGATGTCGGTTATCTACATGTATTCTATCTAAATGCTTACAGAATAGTTCAACGTGCTGTAGAAGATTTCCATAAGTTTCTTTTTTTAAGAAAAGCCTTTTTTAACTTCTGGAAATCTTCTATAGCACCTTGTAGGATTATGAAATAACATTCCATTTAATATAAAGCTTAATATATTTTAATAGATTTTCTGCTTCCTGGGATCTCCTTTATTCTCTGCAATCCCTTTACCCTAAACGTATTCACATAATCAGTGAGAAAATTATTTCCGCACGTACACATGTATCTGTTTGTGGGGAAGTGTCTTTATTTATCCAACATATCCTGTACGGAATGCCATTCCTAGAAAATCAATCACCTGTTCAAGACCCGCACCACCACCACCACTACACATTCATTTATTCTTACAATTGTCCGTCTCAAGTGTCCTTAGGTGTGGTAGTGTGTGTGTAAAAGACTTGGATGTGAGCAATTCAGGTTTTTTTCCTCGGTTGCATCTTTCCTTTATTTCCACTCAATTACTAAATAAATATTGTGTGTGTGATTGTGCACATGTGTCTGTGTCGGTGTGCGAATGCGTGTTTAAGTTTCTTTGAGAATGTGTTCGTGTTCAAAGAAACTTGAAGAGCAATCTTGAGAAGAAAAAATAAATGCAAACACTTAAGAAATGAGGAAAATATGTTGGTTAAGGTTAGGCAAAAAACAAAAAAAAAAAAAAAAAAAAAAAAAAAAAAAAAAAAAAAACATTGTTTAAAGGATATCATCTCATTCGCTTGAATTTTCTTTAAAGTTTTCCAGCCATATAATTTGAAATTGTTGTGTATTTATGTAAAACCATGCGAGAATTTTGTAACACCTTGTATCAAATTAAGTAAAAACAACATTTTCGTTCCATTTACATTTCGAAACTCCAAAGAGAAACAAATCAGAGCAGACATCCATCTCCAGTCAATATAAATGATATACATAAGCCACTTACCTCCGCCGCATGACACGGAACACAGGGACATCGGTACCGTTTCCCACTGATAGAGCGACTGGGAACATGAGCTGCCATTGCCACCGCAAACCCCGCAAATGTCAACCTTCTTGGCTGAGCCAATTTTTAAATCACAGCCAACGCGCTGAAAGAATGAAAGCGAAAGAAAATGCGAATTACTTAGCTGTTCCGCCACATGTAACCTTGATGTAAGTAATTTCATCGGGTAGGCAGGTGGGTGAGGGGCACATGCGGTATAACAAATAAAGCAAATAAAAACATAAATATGTAAATAGGCTTCGAGTATTACAATACAGGTATACAATTTATTTATGTCTTCTTATAATCAAAGTCAAACAATGTGGCGACGGCTAAGACCCCTCTACCCCGCTACCAAAACAAACAAACGAACCTGACAGCTTGACTTGTTTGTGTTGTGTGGTGAGCTTCCCTTCTACTGCCATCGTTGTTGTGTTGGTTTCCGTCTTGATGTGATAAAAAAGCGAAAACCGCAAATAAACAAATAATCTGGATTGTTACTGCCAAAAAGTCGCAGCAACGGCAGACAAAGAAGAGCAGAACAAACAAACGGACGTACGAACGAATGAACGAAGCAACGAAAGAACAAACAAGCAACCATAAAAACGATTTCCTTAGCAAATGGTGACATCTTTGGTGCAATAAATCAAAAATGATAATCACAGTATTAGTGACACGCCGAAATAAAAAAAAGCCTAAGAATATGCTACACTTTTCCACGATGTAGCTACAGGGGAGGGATATGCTGTGTTCTTTACAAATGGTAGGCAAAGTAGCCCTAAGGCGGTATATTAGGAGACGTTTTAAGAAAATTGTGTTGAGGTAGGGGTTTTATAAAAAAATAATAATAAAATAAATAAATAAATATCTTATCGAAATTTAGAGAACATGATGATGTAGACTACTAAATATTTGGCAATGAACCTGGGTCCATCATGCCTGAAAATTTGACAAAGATTTCTACAGACCCAGTTTTCATGTAAACTCTGTTGGATAATGGTGAATCGTCGCTATTACTTGCGGATTGGTGTCACAACTAGATGGAGTTGTGTAGTCTTAAGTTACTGGATTTTGATCTTTTCTGTTAGAGGTTAAGGTGGGAATTTTTGGACGATAAAGGGAACCTTCTAAGTATTTTTGGTACTTTGGTTCCTAAAGGCGTTGAAATCAATATTTTTTTAAGAATATTGCATATCTTTGCCAATACTAGTGTATTAATTTCACAACTAGATGGAATTGCGTGGATATCATGAAAAACTTTTATTTTAAATATACAGTCGACACCTTTTTTGGTGCTCTAGTTGTCAAACTCACTGCAATTTATTAGAATTGTTCGCTAGTTGTGCTTTGCCATAAAAAGGCGATAAATCAATATTTCTTAAAAACTTTGTTGAATTTTACTCCATTGTGGCTTAAACAGAGATAAAAAATTATTTTTTTTTAATTATACGTCAGCTTATCTTCAACATGTGGTACATTCATGTGCCACTTTAAATGTAGATGGTGTTTAGAAATTCCAACAAAATATTTATTAAAGAGTTATAAAACTGATTTTTCTTAGGAAATATGCATTGAGAAGATTATATTCCCAAAAATTATCTATATTTTGTACTTTTCTATAGGAGATATTTCTAGAAAGCCTCATATTCCTAGAAAGCCACACTCAAAAGTAATCTCAAACCAGGTGTCATCCACGTCAACTTGTCTTCAATATATGATATTTTTCTATGGAACAATTCAAATGTAGATGGCGTTTAGCAACTCTCTGTCTTTCGGTTTCAGTTTCCGATGGTTTTAGGCCTATCATGAATAAAATGTCACAGATCTTAAAATTGTTGCCTTGGACTTTCGGGTTTATGGTTCAGCAGGTGGAGCTGTTGGCAATTTTGGTGCCTGAATTTCTTAAGTCTTTAAAATCAATTGTTTGTAACAATTCCTCAAATTTTAATTGTTTTACTTTAAGATACATACAATAGATACAGTAAGTTCAGCCGGGCCGAACTTCAAATACCCTCCACCATTTGGAATGAAATTACAAATTTTCAAAAAATAAAATCCGTTAAAAATTCTGTTAAAATCTTAAAATTACCGAATAAAGCCGTTATATTGGGGTCTATACGACGTGAACCTACATAGGCATTGTTTGTTATAAGCCATTACCATATTCAAAATCGAAACTTGAAATAAACGGTGAATAATGTAGCTAAAATCGTGAAAATGCCGAATATAGGGAGTTACCGATATATGGGGCCTATACAAAGACCTGGACCTGCATGGACAATTTTCTGTCACAGGCTGTAGTTCCCATTACGAACTCTAAATACGTAATTTGAAACTACTCCGGTGAATAATGTCGCTAAAATCATCAAAATACCGAATATTTGGAGGTACCGTCATAGGCTGTAGTATCCATTCCGAACTTCAAATACCAAATTTGAAACAATTCCGGTGAAGAATGTCGCTAAAATCATCAAAATCGGTCGAAAGATAGCGTGATTACAACAGACTGACAAACAGATGGGCATTGCTAAATCGACTTGGAATTTTACGCTGATCAAGAATATACTTTGTTGGGTCTGACATGAGTATTTCGAGGAGCTACAAACGGAATGACAAAGTTAATATACCCTCCATAGTATGGAGGATGGTATAGAAGTTAATATAACTAACAATTATGGTATGTTAGTTTCAATTCAGTAATAAAATGGAAAGTTCAGTCGGTTTACCGTTTATAATTTGACCGATCTTATGTAGCCAGAATGAAATTGCAACTTTTTTAATGAAAAATTCTTAATTTTTATCCAAGAAATTTCTTGCAATGAATAGTTTTGTAAGCGAAATCCCCCACTATTTTTTGTCTTGAAGTTTTAAAAAATTCCCTAGATTTTTCGGCCGATCCTTAAAAGAAACCATTTTTACAAGTTAAAAAGCCTTTGAACTTTGAATACCCTTCATTATTTGGAACGGATTTGGAAAAAGTCATGATTTTTTACGGAAGTCGTTATTGTATTCTAAAAGTCCACGATTTATGCCTGTGAATCCTAGTAAAATGTTCTTCTAAATGCTCAATTTTATACATGAATCCTTGATAATCCTTGTCTTAAAAAACATGAGTAAGTCCTTCAACAAATTTAAGATTTTCCACTACTTTTTACTAGGAAGACCCTGAAGAAATCTTTAAAAAATTAATAATTTTTGGTTATGATACCATTGAAAAATATTTTTTTAAAAATCATTTGAATTTCTGGACGGGAAGTTCATTGAAAGATTGTAGTATGTTTTTGATGCAAAATTCTTAAAATATCGATTATATTCTAACATATTCTTGATATCCTCCTAGGAAGTCCTCACAATTGTTCTTAAAATCTCCTTGAATTTTTGTATGAAGTCTTTAAAAATATAAAAATAAAAGAAATTCCCAAGTTGCCAGGAAATCTTAATCTAAGTCCATGGCCATTAAGAAGAAGGTCCTTCAGAATGTTTTTTAAATACTGCCGATTTTTAAATAATGTCCCCGAAAAACTATGCTTCGAAAATCCATGAATTATAAGTGGTCCTGAAAAATTTTGGAATTCTGACCTATATATTCTAGAAAATGTGTGACTTTCTCCGTTTTTTTTTTTTTTTTTTGCCAAGAAGTCCTTAATAAATGCTCTAATAATCCATGGGTTGTGCATCTTAAATTCCAACAATATTTGTTGTAATTAGGAATTTTTTGGAAAGAGGTGCCAAAAGAAGAGGATAGATATTGCCCACCTTCGAACTCGACTAAGTTGAACCAAATCGGATATTTTTTTCGGGAGTTATTGTGCGCACTAGCCGGCCACGGATGAACCAACAGATAGACATGGCTAATTCGACTCTGAATATCGTTAATGAATTTTGTCCAATGAAACCGCTATTTCAACATTGAGGTCGTATCCAGTACACTATACCCTCTGAGGATATAAAAATATTTATGAATTTTTATGAACTTTCAAAATGATTTATATAAAGTTATTTTAGTAAAATTCACTGGAAATCGGTGCCACCGTTTAGCGTTTAAGCATTCATATAATTATAGCTGTTAGTTAAAAAAACGTATAGACACCGCCGCCACACTCAACCCTGCAGCGGTAATCAATCCAATAACCCCTTAAACCCTTCCCCCATTTAATTGTCTCCTGTTTGTGTTTTTTGAACAAGAACAAAAAAATCTAAAACAATTGAGCATAACAGCCTAGGAGGGTAGAGGCCCTTCAACACGACACCCCATAACCCAACAGTTTGAAATATGATCAAAACAAATGTAAACGAACGAACACGGCAACTCACTGCCAGGCAGACAGACAGACACACAGACAGAGCAGAGCAAAGGAAATATCTTGGTGAAGTATTCCAGTAAAACCACAAAACGGCATATTGGCATTTATTACTCTGAAATGGAGCACACCAATACAAACATCCATGCACACAGACATACACCCGCAACGGAAGTGATTTGTGATAAAACAAATAAGGCAATAAACAACGGCCTCGTACCCAACCCGGGGAAGACACACAGAAAAGAAATCCTAGCTAATACAACAATAACAACAACAACAACAATGAAACCACATGAAGACAATCTGTATCCGGAATTTGTTTGAAAAATATAAAATCACAGCCACAACAAAAACAAAAAAAAAAATACATCAAAGTATGACATAAAATGAATAATGGCATCTCGACTGAAATGCTTGCCGTAATACAAAAAAAAAAAAAAAAAAAAAAAAACCAAAAAAAACTTTATAAAAATTACTTTTTTGTATAATTTGGGACAAACATTTGAAACGAAGCGAAGCTACGCGGTTTTATATATTTTTCCCCGGTATTTGGGAAAATAAAAAATGCAAATTATTGGCAAATTGTTTGTTTGCTGTCGGTGATTTGTCTAAAATGTCACGAATACAAGTGCCCCACACTCTCGTCATCACAAGTGAGTGTGGCAAAGCTCAGGGTGCCTGCCACTAGTTTTCGGCTACACTTACCTGACATTTGCCCTGAATACACATATCGAGGCTACCCGACCGACAACGTGTCCCATCCAGGACACGTGGACTCAATTGCACCACCACACTCAATTCATCATAGTGTTCACTGTCATCTGCGGTGGGTTCCGGCGATTCATCGTCAGCCAAGTGGGCAGGTCGACCCCTGTTAAAAAAGACAGAAAGGTAACAAATATATGATTATTATTTAAAAAAATGACAAATATTTACGTGTGCATTTGAATAAAGGAGACAAAATTAGAATGTGGGCGATGCATATGGATTGATGTCATTATCTTTAATACTTGTAGATGACTAGAAACTGCACCGAATTTTTTTTCATTCAATTGATCTTAAAAATTATAAAAATCGAGTTTTTGTATTTTTCCCTCAATCTTTCAGTCCATAGGTAGAAATATATCTTGGTTTAAATAATTTGAAGTACTTACACAAAAAACTTCATTTAAAATATATTATAAGTCCTTAGAGGTTAAGGTATTACAAATGGACAATATGGGTCCTACTTGTGATATAGCTTTCCAATATCAGTACCGCCCTATTTAAGCTATTTTCGGTTATTCAACCACACTTTTCCTCCGAATCTGTTGCAAATTGCCATTTTGTGTTCCAAAAGGCTACAAAAATTATTTTGAATAGAACTGTCTTCATGGGTCCGGGTTTTGATATAGCGCCGATTTAGGAGAACTTTGGCATTTTTTACCGAATCAGTCAAATACAGAATTATTTCAGTTTTTAATAGATAAAATCTCGCTTCACCAAAACACTTCAGTATAAGTCCACCATTCGATAAAGCTGCCAACAACGGACCTTCCTAATTTAAAGCATTTCATTTTCGTAACAAAACCTAATAAAGGACATCAAGATTACATATTTCCAATAAATAGACGTTCACGTGGTAAAATTAAAACAAGTTAGAAAAGGCTACAATCGTGCGGGGCCGACCGTTGAATACCCTACAACACTATAATAAACGATACAGATTATATAGGCGAGATACTCGAAAGAATTCCACAAGATATTGTTACAAATTAAAAAAGAAAACCATCAGGTTTCGTTCTCTAATTTTCGAATAATAGCAACTTAAATTAATTTGCTCATTTCCAATTTATTGGTAGATGTTGCACGTAAATGGTCTTCCTAGATCTGGAACCAATATTTCCCAAAGACCTATAATCTCTCAGAAGTGGTAAAAGATTAACATTTATTATTGGTTTTTGACTGAAACGCATCTATATGAGATACAGACATTTGACTATATTCTTCAACGAAATCAGCATTAACGAAGTAGTCAGAAGTGTGTCTTTCCTGTATTTGTGAATGCTCCAAAAAGTCACTGGAATGGACATTTTCGTATTTAGTCTAGAATTTTTGATAGAATTTTGCAGTTTTTTGGTCCATTTCAAACCCTAAATATATGGCGATCATCTCCAAAAAGAGTAGGTTTATATTCTGACCCTCATCTTATCCCCATGCAAATTTTCATCTTAAGAGAGATATTTTTATGTGATTTTTTTAGAATTTTTTCTTTCCTGCCAAGATGTCATTCTGAATTAATGAGAACTGTCGAAATCAGTTCAGCCGTTCTTGACATATAAGAGATCTTTCAAGCATATCTTATTTAAAGGACATATATATCGCACATATTTTGCTATATATCCGATTTCTTGTAAAGATCAGAAGTAACCTTGACATGGCTTTGTGATTTCGCCAGGATTTAAAATATTCGCGGTTTAATAAAAAATTTTGAATTTTTTCAAAACAAAAAATATGGTCTATTTTACCCGCTAAATATTATCCGATGACCACCCAAACTGCTAGGCTTCTTCCCCGCCCTACATGCGAAATTCCGCGTCGATTGATCTATAACTGCGACCTGTATAGCTACTGCAAAATCCGACATTTTTCAGTATTTGGTCCATTTCAACCCCTAAACATTTGACGATCATCTCCAAAAGAAATAGGCTTCTATTCTGACCCTAACCCCACCTTCGTGCAAAATTTCGTAAGGATCGGGCCATAATTGCGATCTGTAGCGTGATTACAAATTAACATGGACAGACGGACGGACGGACATACATAGCTAGATCGACTCAGCTCGGCGACCTAGGAAGATCCATATCTACTTTCCTATATGGGAAACCAATATTTCGAGGTGTTACATAAATTCTGGCCCAATCAAAGTTATAATACCCCCAAAACATAGTGTCATAGGGTATAAAAAATATGAAAACTATTCTGTACTGACAAAAAAATACTAACAAAACTAAAATGTACCTCACCCATTTGGAACGAATTTGGAAATTAAAAAAAAAAATAAAATCCGTTAGAAATTCTGTTAAAATCTTAAAAATACCGAATATAACCGTTATATTGGGGCCTATACGAAGACGTGGACCTGCATACGCAACTTTTGTCATAAGCCATTACAATATGCAAATACGAAACTTGAAAAAATCTGTGGAATAATGTAGATAAAATCATCAAAACACCGAATATAGGGAAGTACCGTTATATCGGGACTATACGAAGACCTGGACAATTTTCTGCCACAGGCTGTAGTACCTATTACGAACTTCAAATACGAAATTTTAAACAATTTTGGGGAATATTGTACCCAAAATCACCAAAATACCGAATATAGGGAGGTACTGATGTATGCATAGACTATTTTCTGCCTGTAGACTGTAGTTCTCATTACGAACTATAAATACGATATTTAAAACAACTCTGGTGAATATTGTCGCTAACATAATCAAAATACCGAGTAGTGAGAGGCACCGTGGTATGTGGGCTATACGTTATAGTGGACCTATATAGATATTTCTCTTCCAGGGATTAAAGCGCATAGAAAGAACTTCTAGTAAGGATTTTTAGATAATTCCATTGAAAAATGTAGTTAAGATCGTCAAAATACCGAATATGGCGAGGTACCGTTATATGGAGGATATACGATATCGTGGACCTATACATACAATATTCTTCCAGGGGGTAAAGTACTCAGAAGAAACTCCTTTCGTGGATTTTCAGTCAATCTTTGAAAAAATTGGCTACAATCATCAAAATACCTAACATCGGGGGGGCTTTACGATATCGTGAACCGATAGAGCCCATCTTCGAACTTCACCTGCCTGAAGACAATAGACTGATGTGTGCAAAATTTTAGCTTCCTATCTTTATTCGTTTTGACTCTAGAGTGATTACAACAGACGGACGGTCGGACAGGACCAAATCGTCTTAGAATTTTACATTGATCAAAAATATATATGTAATGTCTAAAATTACCATTTCGTAAGTTACAAACGGAATGACGAACTTAATATACCCTCCATACTATGTATAGTAGACGGTATAAAAACTATGAATTGAAATAAATAATTAACAATTTCTGTTATGAATATTTAAATCTGTTGCCTCGCAAAAATTGCTGATACTTTAACCAAATATGAACATTGTCATGAAATATGTTTTGTTGTTGTTGTATGACAATAAAGGATTTATGGACTATCAGAAGATGTATCTTTTTCCAATGTTGACAGCCAACAGAATAAAAAAAAAACACAAAGAGAAAAACAAATAATAATTGCATAAGCAGAGTGTCATCGTATGCATAAACCACAGAACATATTTCATATTTTCCATTTCAATTTTCGATACAATCGAAGGGAGCAGAAGAAGAATTGTTATTTGGTTGCTAGCAAGAGTTTAATAATCATATGTGTTGTAAGTAGGCAGTGGGCGTATAAGTGCTATATAAAGTATACGCCACATGGTGTCCAATTAGTTACTTTAAATTCATACCGTTTTTATCATTTTCCTTTTTTTTTTTATCAAATTTGCTTTCTATTTTATTTACTCTAATTTTTATAGTTTTTAATCCTTTCCGACTCACCTGCACGTCAGGGCACACGGCTCCACATAATCATAATGCGGTGTCCATTTATATAGAGTTCCATCATAGGGCACATCATTATTGGCCGCACACTGTTGCGCTCTGAAATCAATTTTCTCCGGACACGGCTGCATATTACAAATGCGATAACGCACGCTGTCACCCTTACAGCCATTGGCGTTTTGACAGCGGCGTATTTGTTGCATAACACCGCCATCACATGTTCGTGAGCAGGTCGACCATTCGGACCAGGTGGTCCAACCACCAGAGCCGCCAGAGTTTCCAGAACCACTATTGCTGCCGCCACTACTGGAACTGGAACTGCTGCCTTTTACCGAACGTTTCTGCTGTGACGAGACACACTGCAAAAACACGGAGGAGTTCAAAACCACAAATTATAATAATTATATTTTTTAAACATTCATTCCCGCTTGCAATACAACTTACCTCCAGCTCATTTTCCAAATCGGTGGCCGTACTCCAGGTATTGTCAAAGGCTTCACTGGCATTGAGTATTTTCGCTGCCTGGACTGTCGTTGAAAGGCAGACAATTAACTAAACGAAAAGAAGAGAACGGGGAAAGAAGAAAAGAGAAAAAAGTGTTTCATTACCATCTTAATTATGATTATCTGCTGGCGTATTTATCGATTCTCTCGACTAAATGAGAGTCATGTATTTTAATGAGACCACTTGAGGAAGTGATTTCTTATGCAGGGATTGACAAATTGATTGGGTGTTTGCAGTCGGTGTGTGTGAGGTGTATGTGTGCGTCTGCAAGTATGTGCGTGATGGCTTGCCTTTCATTCAATTACCATAATTTATTTCGCCATTGTTTTCTTTTTTTTTTTGTTATCGTCCACTCTTTGGGTGATTTGTTATTCTATTGCCATCAATTTTGGCTTAATTTACTTAGCAATCAAAGCAATCTAAATTAACTGACGTTATTAGCAGCAGCAACATGGGGCTACTTCCGTTTCAATTCGAGTCTTTAACAAAGGAATTGAAGGAAACACACATTGGCACTAATTTGAGGTAGGATGTGAAGGAAGACGTTTCCACATGAGAAAGATGTTTTGGAATCTTGTGGGTATAGGTTATATTAAATGCTTGTAAGAATAATGTTAAAAACAGATGGACCGAAATAGTATGCCTTTAAAACTCAAGAAAAACCAGTAAAGAAAGTCTTAAAGTCGGGAGGGGCCGACTTTATGATACCCTACACCACTTTGCTAATTTAGTAGAGCTCCGCATAACAATTAAAAGTTTTTATGGAATAATTCAATCATACACGCTATGATTATAATTATAATATATAATAATTGTGATTTTTGTATTTTAGTAGTACGTACTTGAAATGGCAAGCCCACACACATGACGGACTGAGCACTGATTTCACTTCAGCCGTTATCAGAAATCATAGTAGACATTATTTCCTACAATTTCGTATTTTTTGTATCCTTATGGTACAAAAATTTAGTACAATATCGTACTTTTCGTACCTTAATAGTACTCATTTTAAAAACCAATCATCATTAAATTCTCACGTGATTCTATTTTGGTTCTACTTTTCTCCGAATAACAATTCAACATTATTTTGTATAATTAAGTACTTTCCTTATCCATATGGCGTAGATTTTGTAAAAATCCTATTTTTTCTTTTACGCAGAAATTGTGACTCCCATGCTCAATTGAACGATTTAAACTTCAGGAGAGTGGAGCTTGATGGAGTGGACAGATATTGTCCATTTTTGCACCTGTCAATCTGGCTGGCTGGTGCGCCCGATAACTCTCGAAGGGAGTACCCGATTTAATCTAAACTTGGTACATCGTAATATTATTGTTCAAACTTAGATCGAGTTCGGAAATGAGCAATATCGGTCCTCTCCTTCTGGTACCTCCCCCACAAAAGGTCGAAATTTTCAAAAAATATATTTTCTGTACAAAAAGAGAAAAGATGATCCGATCTTGCTCCAACTTTACAAACCCTAATATTTGCGTCAGTGCTAGGTCAGGTGCGAAAATGAAATTTATGGGTCCACTCCATCAAGTACCTCCACCATAAAGGGTCAAAATTTTGAATAATTACAACTCTTATAAAATGTGATGTAATAGTCCAATTGTCTTCAAATTTCACACATCCCAATAATTTCATTAATTTCTGGTATTAAGATGGAATACATCTGGTACCTCACTCAAAGGGTCAACACTTTGAATATCCATGAAGCTCATAAAACGCGAAATTAACATCCGATTCAATTTAAACTTTGCACGTCTGAATATTTCTATCAACTCGGGATCTGCTATAAAGACGGTAGAGATCAGACCATTCCTTCTGGTACCTCCTACACATAGTGTCAACGTTTCGAATAACAAAAACGTTCTAAAATCCAAAATAAGCATCCGGTTCTCTACATATTTCACACATCCCATTATTTCTACTAACACAAGATCTACTGTGAATATGGGATATATCAGCCCACCCCTTCTGGTACCTCAAAGGTACCAGAATAAAAATTCTTAATGTCAATAAAGCCCATAAAACGAGAAATTAACATCCGAATCCATTTAGACTTGGTACATCTCAATATTTCCATTAAAACAAGATCTGCTACAAAGGTGGTAGAGATTATACCATTTTTCTGGTACCTCCTCCACATAGGGTTGAAGATTTTTAAAAACGTTCAAAGAAAACGAGATCATCATCTCATCAAATTTCACACATTAAAACATATTTGCTAACACATGATATGTTGGGAAGATGACATATATCTGCGAACCCCTTCTGATACCTCATCCACAAAGGGTCACATTTTTCAATACTTTTATCTGTCATAACTTGTGAAACAAATCGGCGATTTTTTACAACCTGCTATATCTAAATATTTCTTTCAACCAGAAACTGATATACATATGTGATTTATCGAAATTTAAGATTTTGAATTAAATTGGGCGTAAATATTCGATTTCCTTCAAATTTTGCACATACCAATTTTTTTGTATTAGGTGAAGTATGAAAATGGAATACTTCGGTCCGCTATATCTGCTATCTCACGCATATTTCCACATTTTCAAAAATTTGCACATATCTCATATATAGTATAGGAAATAGACGATATAGTCCAAATCTGGCACATTGTAATATTTATATCAGTCTTAGGTCAGATACGAATTAGTCAATATTGGCCGACTGCTTCATACCTCCCCCATAAAGCATCAGCAGTTTGAATGATCATAACCAAGGCTGGGGGTATAAATCTGTCGGGAAAACCGTCTGATAGTATTTGACTTGCTTTAATATCACTCGAATAAGAGCAAGTATGCTGTGCGCGTTTTCTAATGGCAGAAAAATACTCTTTTAGTTTTTGCCATATCGTTGTTTTTTTTCTACGAATATGCATTTTCTCAACACTTAACTGTAAAAGAAACAGATACAAATAAGTTGAAGATACGATAGAGTAGTTGCTTTTGTTGTCTTAACATACAAAATTCACCGGCTCCTTACAATCCATTCCGCTGATTTTCTTATCTTGCCTTCCGACTTTATAAACCCCTACAAAACCCCCTCTCATTCTACGGCAACATCTAACATCAATGAACAATAAAATAAATTAATTTTTCCGATCGGTTTCACCCTTAGAGTATTCTTTTACACTATTTCGAGAATTTCGACTCCCACTCTATTTTTTAAAACAGGAGTACTCGCGACGGTTCCCACATAAAACAAAAGAGCGGAGAACAAACTTTATATAAAACTCGTACTCTTCGAGCATTTCTCCTCGTGAGCAAATTTCACTCGCGAGCATAATCGAGGAGATGCCATCAAAAACTTCCAAATGTCAAACCTTTAGTCTCACAGAAATCCTTCAGAGTCACAGATTCTAGTGAAGGCAGGTTCTTTGTCTGCTTTCTCTTGTGAGGCTTGAGGAGATATTTAGTTCTCAAAATATCTTTGCTTTTTAATGTGAGTTACAAATATAAATCCATAAAAATCTGATCTATTTACTCAAGTAAAAAAAATAAGTGAAAGTAATTCACTTTCTTAACGTTCTTTTCTGAAATTTTAAATCTTCCTTTCAGTTTATCATCATTAAAAACTCTACCATTGACACGAAGTAATCTCTATTTTTGATACCCATAGTAACATTAGCTGTATTCCCCATATTTCCTCTCATCAAAGTGTATTAGGTGCCAATTCCCTAGTATATATTTCCCATTCCTCCACAATTCTTAAAACATTATTTTTTAACTTTAATGCTCGTAAAAACAAATTTAACAATTTTAAATAGATTATCAAAAACATGGTTCATTTTGCGGAAAAATTACTCATGTAAAGGGAGGAAAAGGGAGGGAAGGCGTTATACTCGTTACAATTCCATGGCTAAAATTTACATATCACTTCCATGGCAATAGACTTTTTGATTATGTGTATGATGCAAAAATACATACACTCACACACATTAATAAATATATACATATTTATATACATATGCCCACACAGCAGACATATGTGTAAGTTCATATTATAACATGTTTGTCTGTGTATATATAGTAAATACCAATTATATACATGTATGTATATAACATCTATTCCGGTTGTAATAAAAAGAAAAAAATATATATACAACATAGCAACACGGCATCCTGCAGAGTCTTCTGCGCTCTCTCTCTCTCTCTCATCCGACTATTTCCTTTACTCTTTAATAAAGTTTAAAAATACACGCTACCTTGTTTCCTTTTATAAGTACGGGCAGGAACATGGCAAAATAAAAGAACAGTGTGTCTTTTTCATGTAGCTTGTCAGTTGTCTATTAAAAATGACAGCAAAAACGTCAATTCTCTCACCTCCCGCACACACCCACACACACACCACATCCTTACAAATAATGTAAAAGTGTAAACCTTGTCCAAGTTATTTTCATTTCTTATTTTGCCGCCATAACTTTTAATGAGGAAAAGATAGAAAAATATCCGGTGTTTTTTGTCACTACTTCCTTCCCCACCATTACCATTAGCAATGCCTTTGAAAAAAAAAAGAACTCAAAGGCTGTCTCTCGTCGTTATTTGGCGAAGAGAGAGAGAGAGGGAGAGAGTGCAAAACACTTTAGCATATGAAAACAAAAGCTTGTACGTGGCAGACACACAAACATACGTTACAAAGGACACACAACTAGAGATAGGCAGACTCATAGGAAGATGGACTTTTTGCAACAGCTTACCGTTCACTCAACCATCAGACAAAAACAAATCGTACATCATCTCCATCAATTTGACAGGATTTAATGTACAGCCTTGACGGGGGATCAAGAAACTAGGTAGGTTTGGAGGGTTGAAAAAGGGGGGTGGGGGTGGTATGAAAGAACGAAGTGTGGAAAAAGGGCATTAGTGAATAAAATCCAGTGATAAAGTTTGAACGATGTTAAAAGCACACACACGGACCATGGTTATGAGGTCCATAAGGATAATTAAAGAAACTTTGTCCTAAACATATTCCACAATTCAGTAAAGTCTATGATTTTGAAAGAATGAAATTGGGATCTTCAATTATTACCGATACT